GGGTCTCCGTTTCACGTGGATACCCTGGGTCACGTGGAGTCCCTGTCTGCTGGCGGCGAGGAGCAGGTGGAGTCGGCAGGCATAGGCGTTGGGGTGTTGTTGCCAATCTTTGCAACCACCGTTGGAGTGATCGGTACAAGGGGTTGCGGCACAAATCCACGATTTCAGATTTTCTTGATCTTTTTCAGTATGTTTGATCTCAGCACCATAGGTGCACCAAACCCAACCGCAGGATTTAGTGAGACAGTTTCGGCATTGCTACTGAATGAAGTAGAGTTGGTAATAAAGACAAGCAACTATGTTCCATAGCATGGCGAATCAGGAATCGATGGTGTCAGGGTAGTGGAATTTAAACTCAAGATTAGAGTATATATTGTGCAGTAATGTGTTGTCCTTAGATTTTGTTGCGTTGTCTGTATTGCCTTTTAATCTACCTTCGAGAGTCATTAATATGCAACTGGCGTAATGGCAAGTCGTTGATAGATAACAATCGAAAGGGGAGGTGGCACTGTTTAAGGTGACACCATTAGTGAATGTAATTTTAGCAGGTGTCCCACCACTACCATGTTTCGTAATACCCTGTTTAATAGCTTCAGACGCTTGTTGAAACACCTTGGTGTAGGGAAGGGCCATTAACCAATAGAGCATTTCACGAATGGCTTTAGGTTCACGATTACAGTCTGTCAGTTGGGATTGTTTGTATTGAAAATAGTATTGCGATGCGAGGTAGAGGAAGGTGAAGGGGTTATCTTTAGCAGTTGTGGCATAGTCCACATTCTGTGCAGTATTATCTAATACTTGTTTGATATACTGGGAGTAATTACTGTTGGACACATCGGCATCTCTGGGGAATAGGTCGTTGAGTAAGCCGGGTACATCAATTGCTTCTTTACCATTGAGTTTAGCATGGTCGTAGCCGGAACACTCGAAGTATAGGCAAACGGCCTTATGCTCCTCGTTGATTTTATAGGCGGTGAATGCAGGCTGAGTATTTGACCTGGAAGAATCCCAAATATAATATCCCTTCCAACGAGGGTTATTTTTATTAGAACCTTTCGTCTGATTCCTTTGTGCAGCTTTCCAGTATGGATTGGAGACCCACATATTGTCCTTACCGTCATTACATTGCCAATATAAGTAACTTAATCCACCGAAGATCAAAGGAATACAGCCTAGAAATATGCAGGCGCACAGTTCACCGTCTCTCTTAACAGCATTGGATGTATAAGTGTCTTTTTTGTGGGAGGAGAAGTTACCTTGAGAGCCTTGCTTGGCAATACCATCGATGAATTTATTTAACGTTTTTGCCATTTTAAAGATCAATTGATCCGCTTTAGCAATTTTGTTCAACTCCTCTTCAACCTTTTCAAGCATATTTTGATCCTGATATTCATTAGGAATCTGGCCAAGAAGCTGCACAACTTCTTGTCTAAGCTCCTGGGACCCATCTCCACCCTTGCCACCATCAAGGCCATGAACAGATAGAATCCAATCTATAGCTTCTTTGAGGTTACCAGGCGGATTCTTTGTTAAGGAGGCATGCTGCTTAGTCGACATTGTTTGAAGACGTATACAAGAAACGATTTCATATTCTTCAACAGCTAGGTTGTAACAGTGTTACTGTACCACAAAAATGAAGCCGACTGACCAAGTCAACCAGGCGCTTCATCGTGTTGATGTTTTAGAGAGCGACAGAATGATAGAAACGGTTGCTTTTCTTACACAGCATTGCCTTTATGCTTTGGACGAACTGGAATGAACATTCCCCATGCCCTTCATCAGGGCTAGAAAATAAAGGGGTGCTGCCGGGAAATTACGTGTCAATATCTACTCGAGATGGCGACCACAAACGTTGTTGAACTGAGGATATAGCAGGTAAGTGTCAGACAGGGTGACTGGTAGTTGGTGTCACTTTGCAATGTCACTATATCAGGTGAACAACCGCAGGAGGATTTTGTTGACTTAAGGAAAATATCGAAATTTATGACATCCGTAGACTTTTAGATCGCTCCAACATATGACGACAGGGCTATCGGTTACGCATATCACAGAGTGGAAACTTCTTCTACTGACCGCACTGGGATATGGCCTGTGATACTCTTGGACGCTAGCTGAGCTATTGGAGGTCAAAACGAACAATATGGCAATTTTGTAATATTGGCTTCTTAACTCAATTATCGACACTCGTAATATACAGAAAACGGTTATACACGTCACTATCACTTGGTTGCATGATGTAACATGTTTCTAGTGGAATTTGCCAAATGACTGACCTAGGCTGTTTATATGGTTATACTGGGTTTATTGTGACACCATAACATACAATTAATCCGCTAACATTGCCGCACTAAGTGCCACTATACGTTCTTTAGTAATGTGAATTACATATACCAGTGGGTTATCATGATTCGGTAAGAATGCAGTTATTGGTAGTTACAGTGAGCAGCTTTGCCTCGCCATATTCGAGATACATATTACCTAAAACACCTCACAGGTATACCAATGTTATTGTCAATCACCACTGCACAGTTTATATAGTACACATTGATAGTGAAATGTGGAGAAACAATGGCAGAAGATCGTTGGAATACACACTGTAGTAGTTAAGCGACTAATGCACGCTTGACAACTACCTTACGGATGTTAGAATGATTTACAATGCTTACATATGCCAAACCATTGCCAATAGTGGGTTAGTAAACCAATGTGTACAATATCTTTGCAATGTGCATGTTACACACCTCTTATACATGCAAGGTTCTTTTATACCCATTAGGATACATTGACCTTATATATATCAGCTACAATAAGGATGATATGAATTATCTGAATAAGATCAAGTGGTTCAAATTGCGGTTACTGTTTTGCCCTTCTAGATATGAAAGGTTATGTGCCAGATCAATAACGATGAATAGAACATTGTATTTAATACTACATTCTTCATATACATGAAGTTTATGTGTTCAGGAGGAATCGTAGTATAGAACTCTGTGATATCACCTACTGTGAAGCTGGGGTGCGTGGCGTCACGAATAATGCCTATATGTAAGCATTAAAGTGTAATGGCAAGCACACAGATGAGGTATGTATAGAGACAGTGTTAGTTACAGATCAAAAAACGTATGTGCATAAGTTTTACCACGTTAACAAGTGCTACGTGGAATGAGTCAAGGTAAGGCGCAGAGTAATATATAAGTGTTGTTAGATCAACCAGCCATGATGCCTTCTTAAAACCATGATGATTCTCTTTGGAATACTTTATCATGGCAACATTACGCTGCTTAATTTATTTGCTGCTTACCGTTGATATCAAAACAAAGTCACTTTGAATAGTAGCTATGGATTATAAGTGCATTGCTATTATGATGACACGACAGCCATTCACTGCAATTTCCACAGACTCTTGTGAGAACACTTCAATTATTGATTGTGCGAATTGAGTTACGATCCTAGCTACACTTCAACGGCTGTAAGTACTGATGTCTGATAAGATCACCTGCTATTGACTATGACTATCGGGTCACATGTATTACTTGCGAGTAGTTCCGTGTGTCCGTACATCACTGTGGAAGTTCACTGACTTGTCACCGTTACACTGCTAGTTCTCTCTACACTGCTAACATCACTTCTATCATAATACATTATTGCCAACTTCGGCGTTTGACAACTCATCACAATGACGCAGCTCACCGACAGTTGTACCTCTAAGTTTTCATCTTATCTACGATGTCTACCCCAGGTTTCCTCCACACATCATCGATGGGGTAGCTAGCTACACATTTCCCAATATGCGGATATTGCATGCATGAAGTGTCTGCTAAGGAATCATATGAAATCAATCCGTTAACTTCATTTACGTGGGAGCTAACATGTGGTAAGATTCAAAAGTAACAACGTGATTTTCTACGGTATCAAGTAGCTTATATTGGCCGGAGCCAACTTTTTGCCCAGCAAAAGCATGGGTAGTACTCGGCAAGCATCTGTAAACCGCCTCTGTGAGAGCATGTGCAAGACGTCTAGTGGTATTAGTAGACCATATAAAAAATAGGTAACGAGAAGCAGCCAGAAGACACCAGTGTATAAAATGAAGGGGTAACGAAGGTGCTCGAAGAATTCTTTAATACGCTGTGTGAGGGTATCAAATACCTCGTTATTGACTACATTTTCCAGTTGCTGGGAGAACTTATGACACTGTTTCCTGCCACGATTCAACGCAGCTGCACTATTGTATGTGAACCAGTAGGAGTACAAAGTGGGCAGTGCAACAGCACACTCCACCATGGATTTACAGAAGCAACTATTTTCGTCGCCGTGATCACCTTGTTCACGCTGGCACCTTGGACCTTTACAATGTTCACAATCAAGGCCGTTGAAGTCGTCTAATAATTGCTGAAGCCCTCTACGCAGATATTCTGTGAGATACACTATCCACGACAAATACCTATCTTTGTAGGTTGCGGCGAAATTCGAGAAGTTGTACCAAGAAAGGCAAAACAGGTATTTCCCACAGGCTGTGCCATAGAGACATTCCTGGAGACAATGGAGGCTCTGATGTATATTTTCACCATTACACTCTTCGCGAAGTATTTCTACGGCTTTCATTAGTTTCGTACCGTCACTGTCGCTACCGTTACTGTTGTGACTACCAGGGTGACTGTCAGCCGCATGTTTGACGGAGTTTCTCAAAGAGGTAACTTGAAGATTTGCACTGTTGCCAGCGTTATCCTGTTATTCAGCCAGGAACGAGAAGAACCCAAACATGTTACCGACTGTTCGAGGGGTGCGTGCACTAAAAGAACTTAGGCAAAGAACAAGGTTGTATAAACTAGCTTCATTAAGAGTTTTATCAATGAAACTCCTTAAAATTCGTTCAAGTGCATCCCCTCTACGTGATTCACCGAATTTGGTCATCCAATTTTTGAAACCCATTGGTACGGGACAGTATTGATTGAATTTGCGGTGAGTTGTGTGGGAAGAGTATGGTAGGCTACATGGAACGATTGTTTTCCTTTTGTACACAGACGCGGCTTTGACGCCTGCTTCATGTTCTTTGAACAACCTACAGCGAAATGGATCGACTTCGTCGCAGAGAGCAGCTTGTAGCGGAGAACACTTACGTTGTTTACCGCACTCGGTGTGATTCTCACTGCAGCCAGCCTCAGAACAATCCTTGTGACTGAAGACTAGTGACCCCGACGGCTTATCGTTCTGACATATCCAATATGTCATTTCGCCAACGTTTATACCATAGCCATATCCACAGTATCGCCACCCACATCCCTCCAGTAGACAGACCCTGCAGCGCTCCCAGATAAAGTATAATTGGACAAGGAGATGGTAGATTACCTCCCACAGCACACCGAACCACTGATTGACACTATTGGGGAAGTGCAAACCGAAGGCCGTGTTGCTATATATACTGTACAGTGATATTGTATCAGTACCCTTCTCAAATGTGAGTGTACCTTGTATCGTTAACAAAACAAAAGCAGCATTGAAACAGGGTGTGAGCAGGTGATGAGTGATAGAGGACAGTTCTAAGTCAATAACATCTGCAGGTGACTTACCGGTAACAAATTCAATCTTAGTTGTACCCTTTTTACCTAGTAACGTTGGCACATCATCAGAGTTATTGATACACCTTACTATATGTCAATGTCATGAGCCAATATAGCATTTCCCGGATACTCTTAGGCTGACCCTGAATAGAGTCGCCATTGGCGAATATTGATGAAAAGTGATACTGAGATGCTACGTAAAGTGTAGATAGGGGTGTGGTTATCGCAGTTTGACTAGACCTATCTCCATTTTTAGTGTTATTCAGTATTTCTTTTATAAAAGGTGAATAAGCGCCGGTGACCTTAGTGTTCGCATCTTCGAATTCCTTGAAACTAGCTTCCAGCAGCTTTTTGAAATAGAATGGACAGGGGTTGCCGGAATACAAATCCATTGCTCCTTTGAAAGGTTCAACGATTTTGATATCATTGCGGAACAATTTACCAACGTATTCGTCAATTCTCTGATGTTGCAGCTGTTTCGTATCATAACCCATGGAGACCATATATGTTCCCAGTGGAGAGTTGGGATCGTTGATGTCATGATGAGATTTCAATTTACCTTTTTCGGAAGTACACACCCATCTAAGGCCACCAATGACACCACTCTCATCACCGCTACATTGCCAGTAGAAGTAGCTTAGACCGCTAAAGATCAGGGGTACACAGCCTAGGAAGATGCGGGCGCAAAGTCCATTATTTCCGCCATTATTCGCATCTTTGTCCCATTTGCCATTAACAGTATAGGCGGATTGATACGTATCACCAGCAGGAGCTTTATTATAAACTACAGCGTCATTGCCAATACCACAGCCGGTCAACTCACCGCTACTGTTATATCCAATGAACGTAGCCAACTTATCACTCAATTGACCTATCAAACCGCCGCTGCCATTGTCTTTTACCGACGACTGCAACGCATTGTCCAACACACCTTCATCACGTATCACAGAGTTTTTGGCGTTTCGAAGTAAATGTTCGACGGAATCACACAATTCTTGGATACCTTGATCGTTCTGCTGACCAACATTCCGAACGTCCTTCACAGTCACCCTTAGAATCCAATCTATAGCTTCTTTGGGGTTACATGGTGTGTTATATAAGGTATTTTTCTAGGTAGAACCTCGTATAGACATCTACTTACTGGACTACACATAGCATTGTGAGTCAGACCATAAGCAGTAACCAATAATCAGATTACAGCTGCTGTCGCAACCGATGCAATCATTAACGGTGTCTACGTGGCCGTGGTATGACTGGTGTTATAAGTGTATGCGATAACTAGAAGTGTGAATATTCACATCTGAAACAAGATCAAAGCGCAAACTCCCCATCCTCTGTGTGATCTTCAAAGCAACATGGGTGACCACCCATGAGCTAATTTAAGTAATAATAATCACGATCAATTGACTACTGGAGCCATTCAGAATCAAATATACGCAAGCTCTTCCCTATGAAGTGAAAGCTATAACTGACGGGTTATTCTGTTAGTCCATCATCTGTGTTATATTGGGATGTGAGTGGAGATAACAAAGATTAAATAATCCTAGAACTAATGACACGTTGATATACCACAACCATAGTAGACTTTTTACAACAATCATACACTCTACCTGCACCGATACATAACTTTGTTATCTTCCACGCAGCTGTGACATCAGAAATTAACTCATGCTGACAATTCTGAGGATCTCAAGTCACATAATATACTGTTACACTTTTCAAAAGATGGTTGTAACTTGACTACTAGCTGCTTAACAGGGATGAAATACCTCCAGTGTAATGTACCTCAAAAGATTGCGATACATTTGTGGTTGATTTATGGTGATTGCAGATCTCTGTTCAGCATATCACTATTGCAACGGAAGAATAGCATCAATCTGTCTTTTGTAGCAGCATGTAACTCGAATGGAAGATGATCGTCGCGGCTCTGTAGCGAAATACATTTTTGTAGCTATCGTGGAATAGATATACATGTCACCAGCCGAACACTATGATATCTGACCCATATAGAACCTATATACAGTATCACTGTCGAATACTATTGCGTAGTTTTTATATCACACAACTGTGGTAGAAATGGACGATCGCGTCGCAGCGTAGTACACATACACGCTTTGAAAGCTATAAGGCAACGGCGAGAATACAGGCAAGCTCAGTGTTGATCTGCACATAACAGGTGCTGCATAGAGTGACGTTATAGTCTATAGCAGATTCGTGAAAGTCTGTGCAGGATACATTGGTAATGTGTATCACACACATGTTGCACAGGTCACGGCTAAAGTACTTGAATTCGGATCCTTTTACCTGCTTTATATTATTTAAACCAACGGTAGCGTCAAATAACTGTACAAAATAGATTACTGGCAGTTTACATGATACCCTGCCTCCCTAGTGAACGACGACAGTCTCCGTGTGAGCTCAGTAGCAAACTGTACAACACATAATGTTTGATTTTTAATATTTATAACCTATGAAATGTATGTGCCGAGAGGAAGAGCGCAACACAACGCTTTGGTCTCACCTACAGTAAAACTATCGGAACTGACGTCGCGGTAACTGCCTACGTATAACCACTCAAATGTCACAGCAAGGACATCGACGACGAGTTCACAGACACTCTTCTTGTCCTACGTCAGTCCAACCCATCTTCTGATGTTGGTACCTACTCCAAATCGCTTCAATTTAATGCAGGTTGCAGTTTCAGACGTGGTGATCAACGTGCACAGCGGCGTGCTTCGTGTGGCGTCTCCTTTCTTTATGCGTGCTTTCAACGACTTACAGTGCACAGAGCAGAAGGGAGCAGGTACCCAGGGCGCCAACAGCGGCCAACGCCCTAAGCTGAAGTACACTCTAGTGACTCAACATCCATACGCCGTACAGCGGATTCTCTACTACATTTACAAGTGTGTTAATCCAGTGTACGACACAAAATTGTGCAGGAATGATTACCAGAACGTGACTGAGGAGCCTAAGCTGCTGGTGCCCATATACCAGGAGTCGGCGCGGTTTGGTCTTGGAGACCTAAAGCAAAGCGTGCTGCGTCTCATTCGCAACCAACACAATATCGAGGTACTTGCGAACCTATCATATGCCGCAGACAGTTCCGGTGAAGTCGAGCTGGCACGTGACTGCGGTAGGGTTCTCGCCGACGCTGCGTTTGCAGTCTTTTCCTGTGACCTGTTGAGACGTATGGGCCTAACGGCAGTCAAAGCACTGGTAGAAAGTGATAATGTACAGCTGGATGAAATCCAAACATTCACTGCGCTCTGCCGATTCCTGGATCACAGCGAGCACTTTGCGAGCCCCTATGCCTCCTCCGCAATTCGACCCAAAGAGAAGGTTAGTGCTCCCGTGCCGTTGTTTCAATATCTCATAGGACTTGCTCACACATATACGGTTCTGTTCCATGTCACCTAGGGCCATTGACCAGCTCAGACACGACAATCTAAGCCCAATGCTGCTAGACGCTGTGCTGCGCATACTCCAGGGTACACACAAACGTCCTCGTCACTTCCCATGGACCGATAACAGTGACTACACCTGCATGACATACAACGGGTTGTTCCCTGTTTTGGTAGTGCGTGCCTCCAAGAATCAACTCGCCCTTTTTGACCCCAACAGCGGGAACGCCAAACTGGTCACACCTCACATCAACAAGAAACCCACGAATGCCGCACGTGGTATGACCTACACTTTGGGAACTGAGCGGGAGATGAGCATCTGCTGGTGGGCCTATGAGGTGTCAAAGACAGAGGGAGGCAACATCGCATTTGGCATAGCATTCATATCGCAGGACCCGATAGACGACGCATCTCGTTCATGCTTCCTGTCTATGCCGAGGTCCAGAAGGGTCGTGTTCTATTACGATTTCTCTGAGGACACCTTCAAATCTGGCTATGTGGATGCTGCCAACCACAGACACCTGAAATCCGCATGGGCCTACCAGTCGCAGACCAACAAACCCATACGCAACCTGAAGCAGCGTGACATAGTCACGGTCAACGTCGTTGTTGCCACCAGTAGCATCACTTTGACCGTCGGTGTCATGGACACTGGAATGACACGCTCTTTCCAGATACCGCATCGCGCCAGTGTAGGTCTGTGGCAGTGTCAACTACAACCTTTTGCAGGGCGTCTTGGGTAATGTGATAAAGAGGCCGTCCATAATGGGTGCGCCCTTCGTCATGCTCCATGATATCGGAGATTCGCTCTCCATTCCCGAGCTAAGGGCTGACCTTAAGCTTTAATGATACAGTAACACTAGCATGCCACTCCTCATTCATTTTATACGGTATTTTAAGGGTAAGGATTCCTCAGGTTCCTTAGCCCTTTTGGCCATTCGTTACGCCGGTTGAGGTGGAAGACTATATACTCGTTGAGACCACTGCCCGCAACGGCATCTGATTATACTTGTAATTCCAAGCAACTTTCGTTGACCTACCACATTTGAACCGATGCATATCCTCTATCTCTTGTTTCAGGTCCACGTGATCCGCATCCTTGCGTCCACGATAACGTTGTGTGTTGGTCACCGGTTTGAAGGTGCATTCACTGTCTAATAAATCCAATACAGAACCTGCGTCCTTATTGTGCGATACCGCCGTTATATTAAACTGCGATGACGGGGAACCCGAGTGATCCGTGGTAGGTACCGGCGAACTACTGTCGCCACCAATAGTTGGAGATCCCGCCTCCCCGAGCGAATCGAAGTATTCAGTGATGCGGTTAGATGGATTACGCAGTTGGCTTAGGACTGCACTATCGTCAGGTGCCAATGCCTCTATCACGCATTCTAGTTTCTGGATGAAGACGTTCTTTCCAATGTTACCGTCCTCGTCGCCACCGCCAACAACCACTAGCACGTTCTCTAATAGCTCCAATAAACCCGGATTGTCTGAAAATTCATCCTTTACATGGGCCTTGGCCTCGCGAGTGTTGATGTACCTCCTCCCTTGATGATTGAGAAGGTGAAAGCACAATAGTATGTTGCGTAAAATGATACCTTCTATTAGGTTAGACGGGTCACTTGGTATCGCGTCCGATGTTTCCGTGACCTCAGAGCCATCATATTCCTCCGGAGTTCTGACGTAAACAGAGAAACGGTTTGTTACACTGTTTTTCTTGATGTGGAACGACTGCAGACGGTGAGGCTCGGACATGGCGATTTCAGGAATAGTCGCGGCTGGAGATACCCCGCTACATAAGACGAGTCCCAGAGAGCCGATTCTATAATCATTCAGAGTAATGGGTTGCACATTTCAGGATTTGCGTTCTGGTCGAACGAATCCAATATCCCCAAGACTCCAATGCCAGTGTATTGTATATTTTATTTTCAACTGTAAATATTGTGAATATTGCTGTGTAATTATTTGTAAACCTCTCCGCTGCTACAGTTCCCTTACCAATGTGTACCTCGTGGAGTTGACTTGATGGATGGGTGACGTCAAACAACCGCGTATATAAAAAAGAGCCTTATAATCGAGAAACATAAACTGTAATACGCCTAATGACGGTGTTAAGGTATAATTGAACGCAGGGTCATTATCGTCATCATCGCATTGCCTTCTCCATTCAAAATGAGCACATATATCCTCTCTTTGCCTAATGGCATCACTCGGTGCGTTACCGTGGATTACAGCATGCTTCTGCAGTGTGTTGACAGCGAGGACGAGCTGTTTACGCATTGGTGTATGCCAGGAGACCTGTGTCGCAGGAGCATTCCATGTCTGTCAGGCACTGTTTGTCACGCATTGGTTGAAAACGTCTTCGGCGTAGGCCTTGGAACATGTCGTCTGGATGTGAGGGGCGGTAACACACTGAGATACATAGAACCCGGTGAGGACATGTTGGATTCTACTGCCTCAGCTCATGCAACTCCTACAGACTGCGGCAGTTTTTTTCCTGAAGATATAGATACATCGTTGTACAGAGCTACAAGGTGTAACGCACTAAAAGATGGCGTTGCCATGAAGTTCTCTCTACGGCTTCTTGGTGGCAAAGGTGGTTTCGGTGCTTTGCTAAAAAGGAAGGGCAATCGCAAAAGGCAGAGCTCCAACATCGATTCTTGCCGGACTCTGACAGGTGAACGTATCCGACAGAGTCGTTTGAATGAGTTGTCAGAAAGACAGAATGCCAATACGGTGGACCCTGCTGCCACCAAATTGCCGCTGCCAAAAGAGCAGCCGGAGCAGCCCACGTCCACTGCTACACTTGAGCACTTGAAGAAGGTGAAGAAGGAGGCCAAGCGTGTCAAGAACACTGTAGCAAAGGGTTTGCAGAACGCCTTGTCGAGTTCAGGAGACCCAAAGGCTGACGGCGACGAACAACAAAGGCTAGAGAAGGCACTAAACGAGTGTATGGACATCTACAGCCTAGTTTAGTAGCAGTTTTGCGACTCTCACATACGCCAATCTGGCTTATTAGTGCCACAATTGCTACTACAATTATCGCTATCGATTCAGAAATGGGCAACGCTGGGAACTGCAGATACTACTTAATCTCCTTCACACATTTTCCTATATTTTTTAGTTTTGTACAAAAATCTTACCTGAAGTTTAACTGGGATTGGGTATGCCAGGCTACATTGTGGAATCACAGACGACGTGCAGAAAGTAGATAGCCAGGATCAAACTAGACAAACTGCACTCTCCACTGATAGTTCAGAGGTACCTATGGCTCCATTGGGTTGATGTGTTGATACGACACCAGTAAAGCCCAGTACCTTTGTATATATTGACCTCGTGAATATGCTCTTCACCCAGAGCTTTGTGTGCGACCTCGACTGGGAGAGCTTGGTTGTAGGTTTTACACCCTCATTCACATCGTTGGTATTGTGCTGTTTGTTCGCATAATTAGTATCGTCGCTGCGTCTGTCCTACCACGTCCCAGTCTCATAGCGTATCAGCGAGGGTTCTACCGTATGTACCCGTCGAAATACTACCCTCACGTACGAGAAGTCTACACTATCGACCACGAGGTGGTACCCGAACGACGAGAGCTTAGGGTCCGTAGAGTTGCCAGGGTGAAGTACGATTTCCCCTCGATCATACGTAAGTTCCTAGGTATCGGTTATCACTTCTCATGAATCCCTGCATATGGAATGACTGACGTTGTACCACCCAAACATAGTATCGCGCCATAATCAAATAATGCGTTACATTGGCAATATACGGTTTTGTGATTGGGTATATATGTGTGTCGTGCCTTAGAAACACGCATCTAGGACTTTATCATTGAGATCATGTGCTTCACTTATATTACATTGCCTCCTGCAGACTGTATAGTGGGTCCAAGTATCGAGTATAGGGTGCTGGAAGATTCTGTGGTGGATTTGGAGAACAATAAGATATCGCATAGAACCGTTGGGCTTACCATGAAAGATTATTACAGGTGAGTGCTGTCTAGCGCCACGCATCCTTGGTTCAGCTACGACGAGACAGCAACGTTTCAGGCCATAGCCAAGGACAAAGCGAGCTACAACTCTTCGACTGATTTCAGGATTCTGGGATTCGCTTTTTTGAGGTCGACACTGGAAACGGTGGGTCATAGGTCCATAAAGATGTCACAATCTCTTGTGTTCAGATTGCGCACCGTGTGGTCACCGAATTTTCAAAAAATGACGCTTTGAAGAATGCAATTATCGAAGCTGCAGAGGGTCTTGACAAGAACTAAGAAGTTATGTGGATTCTTGCCAAGAAGATTTACCGAGCGTACTACCGACTGGCTTAGTACGGGCTATCATAACGGTCGCCTGTCGTGTGATGCCTGGCACAGATATGAACATTTGATTTTAAAAACATCAAATTGTATATTAGGATTAGTTCAATGCCACTTGAGCTACCCCGGGTTTGTGGGCAAGCAAATACTCTATGCGCTCCAGTACGAAGAATGCGACCATGCCGCTGATGTCCACGCCGTAGAATGGAGGTATCAGGAGTTGGAAGAACTTCACGTATGCGTTAGTTGCCTGGTAGATGGCATCGAATGGGAAAAGGTAGGGGTTAGCCTGAGGCAGCCACTCCAAGAGGTTGCGGATGTGAAGCATGAACCTGAATATCCGTATGCCGTAGATGGTACCCAGAACAATGCTAGCTCCGTGATCCTTCCACGTGTTAAGAAGGATGCGATCCCAGTGTAATCCCGGCTTTACGGCGTTTGGTGAGGCAGAATCCGGCAGTGTCGACTTCACTTCGGCTCTGGCCTGAATCCTCTTGAGGCACTTCGCTTTATCGACGCTATACACTACTCGCAAAGAAGATGCTGGAGCCACGAAGCCCCTGTGACCGTTCCGGCACTGTTTCCATGATGTAGCTATGACACTTACCGTGTGTAGGAACACACAAAGTGGAACAAACAGTCTCATGTCAAACTTCCATTATCGAATATAGTTTGTAAAAATATATCGCAACTATTGCTGTACGGCCTTCCGTGCCCGTCGTTGCTTTAGACACGGCGAAGTGCAACGTTTTCTGCCGTGCCGTATAATCGACCTTCTACGACCAGTTTCACATGATGAGCTCGAGGGTACAAACGACTGACAGTTCCCAGAACGACAGTGCCCTGGAAATCGTACGCGAAGGCAACATCGCCAGGTTCCAGGATGAGCTCATCTACGAAACAATACGTCTAAGTGACTGCCACTATGACAAATCTCTGAAAGTGTTCTACTATCTATGCCCCTGCGGAGACGTATTCGAGTTCACATTGGCTCAGCTGAGAGATGGTAATCGACTTCGACTGACTTTGTCAAACTTTGTGCAGGCAATCCAGTGTCGGAGTGCCCAAGCTGCTCGCTGAGGGTCCGTATCGCCCTGGAGGAACACGACCTCGATCCTTACACCGAAAACCAGTGAACAGGACCTCACTAATATAGCAGATACAGTAAATGAACATATTAACCATTAAAAACCACATTGTAATAATCTATGTTACTGGCTTTGAATTCATCATCATAGCGACAGCAGCTCCTTTGAGCTATATCGTGAAGACGACCGACGGTTTCTCAGATCCGGAATGAAATGTCTTCTCCTTTTGGCCCTTGGGTACCACCTGTGATACATATGTTTCAGCGACTCATGGCCTACTTTATCGGTGACCCTGTAAGGTTCAGCGATCGTCTGAAGAAGACTTCCAGATACTCGGCATAGTCCTTGGTCAAAAGCTGTTCGTCATTGCAGAACAGAGCAATACCCGGAGGTTTGTTATGGACCTGGTAACCGCCGTTACTAATCGCCAAGGTATCCAACAATTTACCTGACAGGCGTAGTAGATGTTCAAGCGTTTGCCATGCGTAACCGGAGGCTTCTGGAGAAATGTGGCCTCGCGCAAAATGTCATTCAACAGTGCTGTAGAGAAGTTTTTGGAGAACTGCATGCGAATGTGATTAATAGCAAATCACTTGGTCACCTGATCGTGTGCGTTGGCACATGCTTCCAAAATGTTTGTGACACGTTGACCCGATTTCGCTGAGGTGAATACAACATCAGCATAGTTCACAGGGTGTAGCTTCTCCTTCAGGTAGCTGAGTGCGTTCTTGTAGACCGTGGGATCCTTGTCGACGAGGTCCCACTTGTTGCAAACGATGACTGCTGCGCGACTTTCCAAACCAATTTCCTCCGCCATCTTCACATCGTTGCGTGATATACCCCAGCTAGCGTCAACCACGAGGACACAAACATCGCTTTTGCGTATCGCCTGCAGAACATATCAAAAGGAAATACTCGATAAGGTGGAACCGGGATTATCACGTACCCTCAAACTACGTCCCTTAGGCAGAAAGCTACGGCGATCCTTTGTCTGCAGTCGCATCCCTGCCGTGTCAATAAGCAAAAACCGTTGTTCTCCTGCGAGGAATCAATACAAAAGTTTTGATGAGGCAAGTTGAAATGATAACGATGCCAATGCAATATACAGAGCTACGACCTTGCAACACAAACCTCTAACAATGGGTATCTCTACAGTGTCCAGTGTTGTGCCCTCGCTTGGGGATACCAAGCAGCGGTCGGTTCCAGTGAGCAAGTTTACCAAGGAGGACTTGCCACAATTGGGCCTGTGAAACATGGCGAAGACACAATGCAAGACACACCTCCCAATAAATGATATCACCACATCATTGTGATCTTCTATGCTGCATTGATCAAAGTCCGAGACGCAACTGCAGACGTTAGTTGTAACAAAACAACACAAACTCATCAAGCAGTTCGGCAAGTCCTGTCCCATGCAGAGCGCTCACGGGATACGGACGACCGAGTCCGAGGCGCCAAAATTGCTGTGACAATTGAGAAAACCCACTATCGAGAGTGGAACACACCTCCGCAAGTACGTCACCGAAATGAAACGACTCGCACTTATTGACACACAACAGAATACGGAGACTACTGTTGCGTTTGGTAGCATTGATGACGAAGTCACGCACTTCCATATCCGCGTCAGTCAGGCCAACTTGACCATCTACCACCACGATTGCCACGTGGGCATCTTCTAGTGACCTTTCGACTTGGGCTTTGATCTGACCTTTAGTTGGAAAACAAAATACACTAGACGTACTGAATCGCCGTACATGCTATCATCCTCAAGGCCTCCAGTATCGATTAACCGAAAGCTACGCCCTTCCCAATCAGCAAGTGCATACTGACGGTCCCTGCTCACTTATTGCTATTTTACAGTTGCCACTAACCTAGTTGTTCCTGGGACATCGGAAACGATGCTGCCTCGATGGAACTGATACGTCATTAGAAACAAACAGATGTTGTGTTTTGTGTATAATAGAAAAAGTCATGTAAAAATGTCATCCACGTACCTTCTTCGATATGCGATTAAAAATCGATGACTTCCCAACGTTGGCTCGACCAACTATAGCAACTATGGGCTCATGCGGCGGATCGGTGCCCTCATAGGACACTGCCGTTGCGTTATCGGCAGCAAGCACATACTGTCTAGCTACTCGGATCTGCGATGATATGCCTGGTGTAAATATCCTTCCGCACGGACGCAACACCCCTCTACATGAAGGCGAGCGGAAGCTGCAGACACATATGGAATGTGCCACGAGCAGAAGGATGACGATGACGCTCATGAAATGATGCTGTGTGCGGGTGATGCGCAGCGCACATTTAGGGTCATCTCGTATCGATTTTACCCACACTTATTTCTATTCTACCGGATAAGTGGCATTGTAACGGCACCATATAGAATTTAAAATAACTATATTATGTCATTGCGTGTGTACTGCCACCATTGCCTCGCTTCTCTTGGCGCCGCCGCTCTCCACGTCAGGGCTGCGAATCCAGGATAGTCCACAAAATTCCGACATAACACTGCACAAGCAGTTCCCAGAAGAGAACATCAATAAAGGTTGGCGATTTCACGTGATAATAAGCGGCAGGAAGAGTATGTGCAATGTCATCTCTTGAAGAAAGACCTGTGTAAACATTGCTCGCTAGACAAGGAAGTACTCACATCAAAGTAACCTGATTGAGGTTATTCTTGGGTTTCTTTAGTAGCGTGATGTTTTTGCCGTCCGAACTCGGGGTGCTACCCTTGTGTTTAGAGGCCGCTGGTGAGCCGCTTTTGACCGACCCAGTTACCTGTACGTACTCGTCACTCTCTTCCACCACGAAATAACCACTGTCCACGTAAGTGTTTTCCCTAGTCACCTGTGCACATTGATAGAACACGAAGGGAAACGGTAACCTTTTCCACGTAGCTTATTTGCTGGTCGTTGCAGCTCGGAGTATCGAGATCCATAGCATCGCATGGATCATCTGAAAGTGTGTGGAATAGCTCAGACCCAACCAACCGCATTCAAACAGAGAAGCATCTTCCGGGTCCTCACTCTGAGTAGTAACAGGTGCCTCCTGGACCACCTTAACGGCTGGTTTCCCACCCTCCTGCGAATCCGTGGTAGATACGGGTTTGTCTTCTTTCCCAGCTGTTGGATGCACAACAGTAGATTTGTCTCGCGTTGATTTTATTTTTGGCGGAGTGTGTTTTTCAGAATTCTCAGCAACACGTCCGTCGTTCGGATCCACTGCACCACCTAACCCGTCTACCTTCGCTCGCTTGTGGCCGCGCTCGTTTTTGCCATTGACCGAACCAAGCTGTGATTGAGTCTTCGGTTGTTCGTGCGTAACCTTCAGGCGGTGGTTGGAAAGAGCCGCACTGGCAGGCGCTGCCCTCTGAACTGGAGTGCACAGGGCGCTGTCACTGCAAACACTCGAAATAAAGAGACGGAACCGTACCCTTGTTTGTGCTGCTCATATTTGCGAATACGTATGTTGGAAGTCACCAAATTAGCGCACCTAAGAAACATGGAAATAGAATATGACACAGTTACTTTGGGATGTATAGACACCCGGTGTCTGACGCTTGCTTCAGCTCCCTACCGACCGACTCAATCTCATACTTCCACGACATCTGAGTAACCTCAAAGCCCGTTGTTGCAGGGCCCTTATGGAGACCCAAAAGAGTCGTCTGTATATCTCCATAAGTACTCCGAAGTCCTAAGGGGTTTGTCAGCTTTCGTGATGAATGTTTGGTGCTACTAAGGGAAAAAGATGTCATATTCGGGGAAATACAAACGGTTAACATAGATTGCCGTCTTCCTACAGGCATGATTTCCAACCGTTGTGGACCGAAATACAGTGCTCAGTACATTTGTACCGGGGTATTCGGCGATACAGCGATTGTATAGACCATTGTCAGTACACAGATAAGTACACACATCACCACCTACGTTCTATCTCAGAATCTGTCTTGTGCGATAACACGATGTTTTTGCTGTCGTCGGCGTAGCACACAGAGTAGACCACGGCGATGTTGTCTTTGCCGCCCGCGAACTCCAGAGCAGCTCTATGGCAAATCACGAATCGTTGGAAGATACAACATACTGCACGGCGCTGCTAAAGTCAATCCCAAGAGCTTGCGTTATGACGGGGACAGTGACCTGCACAATATACAACGACGCAAAGGCAGCGTACACATTCGCATTCGGTGAGCAACCGCTCGATCACGTCAGAGGAATTAACCATTATTGTGACTTGCAGTATACATTGGAATCAAAAGTGATCACATATGTAGTGGAACCCGGTAATATCTTCCACACATCCTAGAGAGAAGACCCGCAGCACAAAATAAAATGGTCTCAGATATGCACATCGATAACGATCGCATCTACAATTTTTTGCTGAATAATGTAAATGAACCTCTATCCATCGAAGGGTTCGCTTACGAACCCGTTAAGCTCGGTGGTTTATATTGGACATTGACAGCAATTTCGCTATTGAAGGGCCAGGTAAACGATATAATCCACCCGAAACTCGGACGTAAACTGGAGTGCATAGTTTTAGAGATAATTGAAGGTGCAAGGAATGCGGACGGTGGGTTCGGCAATGCCCCTGGTCATCCTTCCTCGGTCATTGCAACTCATGTAAGTACTTGGATAACACCGACTTTCTTACATCTAACAGTACGCCATACTGATACTTTGTTTGCTTGGAAAACAGAACAGTATCGACAAGCAGCTGACGGGGAAGTATATATCCGGACTACAGGTAAGTAACTGTCATCTGAAACTGTGCCACGTGCTTGTTTCACTGCGTGATTACAATACCAATTCACGTATTGATCGTGTGCTCAGAATGCAGACGGAAGTTTCAACAGCGACCATTTTGGGGAGGCTGACGCACGGTTGGTTACTAATTTTTTTGGTAATAATCCGGATGCAGTCACATATACAGCTCTGTGATATCGCTGTCGGTGTTAGGTGCACTAAATAGCGTTGATATTGGGAAGGCGGTCGAGTTTTTGCTGAGTTGTCAAAACAGCAACGGTGGTTTTGGATGGTATCCCAATGGTGAGTCTCATGCGGCGGCCTCCTTCTGCTGTGTCGGGGCTTTATCTGAACTGGGAGCTCTTCAACTAGTGAACATCGATGCTTTGGGAATTTGGTTGTCTGAACGACAGACCGTAGGTAGGTGATCCGTTTTGTGATCCTTCCCACATGCCTAACCCCGATCCTGCGGCATTCCTGTAAATGAAACTAGAGCACTGTTGATGCTGCTGTACAGGTGGTGGTTGTAACGGGAGAGCGGAGAAGGCACCTGACATATGCTATTCGTGGTGGGTGCTCTCGGCACTCAACAATATAGGTGAGCTGGTGGTGCGTATACTAACTCCATGAAGGTCGCTTCGAGTGGTTTGACACAGAGAAACTGGTAGACTTCATATCACGGTCTCAGAACCGGGAAGATGGTGGTATTGCCTACTTTCCCAACTTTATCGGTGATGTTTTCCACACCTTCTTCGCGTTAGCTGCGTTGTCACTGATTGACCACAAGCGCTTCGGCCTAACGGAGATACATCCCAGATATGCAACTACCACGTGGGGACTAAATGGACTAATGAACATATAATCAAATACAAAGTACATCACTGTTTTTTGTTGCGTAGCAAGGGAGATGAAAGGAATGTGCCCAGCGACTGCTTGCAGTCCAAGTTCCCGGTGGGCGTCAGTACCCCTCCGTTATCCCTGAGATTCTTGACATATCCATTGCTCAGCCTACCTTATGAACGACTCACATTCGCCCATTGTGTTGAAGCGTAGAGCTTCCTTTATGGTCCCAAGCGATAATGACATTGCTGTGCTAGACATAGCAACTAGTGCGTTCATGCGGAACCGCGGTTCAAACATTTTGAACAGAAGCGGGGTAAAGAAAGGCGGACTGGTGACTGTTGCTTCATTCTCCAAACTTTCTGCGGAGTGGTAAGTAGCGCCCTCAGAGAAGTCTTCGGTGGAAAACGCTTCGTTATAGATTGCCTCCAGACACTTCACGGTGTCTATTCCACCCGTGTCCGCAACCTTAAAGTACTCCACGAAATCGCCCTCAGACAGCAACCCCCGGATAGAGTTGGCGTAACGAAAGTAGGCACTCCGCCTGAACTCGGATCTCAACACACCCCCTGAGAAGTATGAGCATAAAATCCATCGACATACGCAAGTAGCGCAGCACGTCCATCTGCATGTTCTGCAGCGCCAGGTAGAGCAGAAAATAACAGTCGAATTCTTTCTGATAGAGTGGGAACCCTTCTACTCGACGATGTAAATGACGCAATTGGGTTTGACACTGGTTGAACTGGTCTAGGTCACCGTGTACCAGAGCCACTCGCGCATTAGTCGCGTAGAGTTTAACCACGAAAGGGCTTCGCAGGTGCTGCACCTGGATATCCTGACGAATAGACCTAAACTGCTCTTCTATATAACGGTAGTTGGAAGTTCTCATGAAAGTGTCGAAGACGTGTCTGAAAGCACGCCTAAGTACGGGCTCAGGTCTCACAGTTGCAGGATTTGGCTCCGCAGTCAGACGCAAATAGGGCTTCTCCAGGGTCTCGCATACACCTACTACCGCCACACCCTTCTGAGGCCTAAAGTTGTACGCCTGATACGGCATCGATAATGATGGCTTAAAAACGTACCGAGTGGCTTACATTTACATTCTTGAACCTTTCCAATCGATTCTGCTTCTTGTCACCCTCACTCTTCGCAGTACTGTTACCTGGCCCTTTTAGTTTGGGGCAATCCACTCCATGCAACACTGGAACAGGGTTGCTCTTCTTGGCGTATGCGGCATCCCCCGGGCCTTCCGATTTGGTCTCGCCAGAATCAACTGTGTGGCTCTGGGTCTCCCTTTTGGGTTCTAAAGCAGTGCTTGATTTGGGAACTTTGACGCCCTTCCCCAGTATCTCTTCAGAACTAGGGATTACCAGGTCATTGGTCGTTAGAGAACCGCTCCTGAAAAGAATGCAACTCACACAAGTGTTGCAAACCTGTGCCGTTTTACTATCCTCTCCACGTAGTCGCTAATCTTGGCGCGAAAAACTCTGGAGCACGCACCCTGAGATGAAATGAGGTCACAGTACTATGTATCGAGACTAACCATGGAGTGATGTGCGTACAGGCGTTGTATCCAGTTGTTGATGTCGTCCATAGTAGGCACAGGTGCGTCAGGGTGTGCCCTTTCTGGCGGTTGGTCGTCCTCTGTGGTCACGTCTATAGCCATGTCACTAGAAAACTGCTTCGGTATGTCGCCGGGAACCCTCGCAATGGCTGGACTGCGCCGAATATCGTCGAACTGGGGAGGGCACGGTTCTGATTTGCGGTCTGAGTGCAATGAATACGTGGAATTCAGAATCCCACCTCTGTTCTTCGAGATCTTCAAAGTGATGGGGATGATATGCTTAGCCTTCAATCTATGGCTAGGCATCGGCGTGGTGGAAATTGGAATCTGCCACCCATCTGAAAACTGCTTAGGTGGAATCTTGACACCACAAAGAAGGCGCCGCCTATCATATGTAGAATTGAAACCCGACGTAGGTGGTTGGTTGAAAGCCGCGCTCGACGTTGGGTTAGAGGCACCTGGCAGAGTCGAATTCGAACCAGTAGTCTGCATCATCAACCTCCGGGACTCAGAAGCCGCTAACTCGTCGCTGTAGCCTGCAGAAGAATATAAAATGTCACTCGTTACAACTCATGGCAAAGCCTGTGCCACACGGATCCCATGCAAGAACAACGGAAAGCTTTTGAACATATCAAATATGGAAACTCCCGCAACGGTTACTGTTTCCAAATCAACGTAAATGCACCATAACACTGTAATTGGCAATTCATGTGCTTGCAATTGGCTTGTCGTAACGTCAAGGAATAACGTACCCTGCTGCTTGAAATATGCGAACAGCATGTTGTAACTCGGACGCCCCGGTTGTCTTGCCCACGGTCCAGTGTTATTCATTATGCATATTGCAGTAGTAGGAGCGATTACAATGAACGAAGATGAATCAAAGCACGCAATGTGAACCTTGGCACGGTAACCAATAGTCGTATCCGTTATAATTGGGTGATACTATGCAACAAAAACCACAAAACATTAATTGAGTTGAACATAGATAGGTAGAAGACATATGAGTGCTAGATTGCGACGGATTAAACTGACACATAAATCGAACACCGCGTGATTCGCACGTGTTCGTGACTACAGGAGAGGTGATTTGGCCATTACACCATCAGCTATAAGATATCAATCGCCAAATATTTAATATTGTACAAGAAAGAATAGGAGTTGGTCAACAACACAGCCAATCTGGCTCCACACATCACCTCTCTACGCGACGAGGCTGAAGCGAATCTACACATCATCAGCGCTCTGTTCCTATGAAGCACATTGCACATGCGATGGAATAGCATGGAACCACACGTGTCAATCAGAGCAGAATTGCAGTATGGGTAGCCAGGCACTGCCAACCTTCCAACTCCCGTTTGAGGCGTATCCCGTAGGTCATATTTGTGACGATATGTTCACCGTTGCCAATAGTCGCAAACGAAGTTCATGAGTGACGCGTATATATGCTTCGAGGAATCACGCTTTGGGTTGCTTGAGTCACCAACTGGTTCGGGGAAGACGATCGCAATGTTATGCAGCGTAGTTACGTGGTAGGTGATCTAGTGTATAATCCACCGCAAAACACAAGGCTTAACAACAATCGTTTGAAGGATGCCATGTCCAGATTACAATGTAAGGTTGCAAATGGTGAGTTGCAAAGATGTAGTATCTAGAGATGAGTAGACTCTGGCGTACCCCTGTGGGTACAACGGAACATAAATTCTCAACGCCAAGCGATAGCAGAGGAAGCCATAGCATCCGAGTTGGAGCATCTGATCAGCACTAGGGAGCGTCTGAAAAATACCTTAGTGGTTACGGAGGATGGCGTGCGTGTGAAGTCGGGGACTAAACGACAAAGAGATCGTGTGCTTGAGACGGGAGATAGTGCTTCTAGTGATGCCAAACCTGTCCGCGATAAGGTCCAAGTAATCATCTGTAGCCGTACATTCTCACAGCTTAATCAATATGTAAAGGAGTTCCGTAAATTGGGTCCTCTGGGAGAGAGCCTAAAAGTTGGTATGGCGACAGGTCGGAGCCATGCATGTATCAATTCTGCGGTTCGCTCCAGATGTAGTTCTAACGAAGATTTCAACGAGGAATGTTTAAGCACTGAGTGCGACTTCAGGCAGGACGTGAATCCACTATCGGAGGCATCCACCTGCTTCCCCATGGACCTCGAAGATCTCAGGGCTGTAGGCACTGCACTCTGCTCATGCCCATACTATGCCACCTCCAAAAACATACCAGAGTGTGACATAATTCTGGCTCCATACGTTTCGGTGTTCAACAAGTGTATCCGACAGGCTATGGGCCTGAAGACCGACGGAAACATTCTCATTATCGATGAGGCGCACAACATCGTTAGCGCTGTAGCGGAAGCGCAATCGAGTTTAATATCAGCAAAAGCAATGGCTGCTCTGAAAACTCAGGCTGCTTCCTATTTAGACAGGTTCGGAAGTAAACTTCCCGAGGAGCAGAAGTTCGCCATATCAAGGGTTAAAAATGTGGCAGGTACTTTGTCTGACTCAATAAAACTAGTTGCCCATAAGAGCACCTCAGACAACTCCCTAGTTTTCCCCATACCAAGCTTCTTGGTAGCACTTGGCTTGGATGGTGTCAAATTTCACGAACTGGTATGCTTTTTAGCCTCCGGGAACATTTGTGGGCGCTTGCGTTCATTCGCAGAAAGGGTAGCACGTGGGGAACGGAAAGAGCAGATGGTTACGTTTGACACATGTGCTGCAGCCTACACAGCTGCAATATATGATTTTAGGCATTTCATAACAACATTGTTATCCGCCAGCCAGCACGACCGCATAATTGTTACTCGTAAAGGTGAAGATGCTGAAGTCGAGATCTTCAACGTCTCTGCAGGTATTAAGAATTATGGCGGTTACCATCTGTTTCAGATGAACAATTCCAACGACTCACCAAGAATGCCAAGAGCGTGGTGCTGATGAGCGGTACCCTCACACCGGTTGAGGAATTCATGAGGCTTTCACCCTTTAGCCTGGAACCGATATTACACAAAAGTCCACCGGTATTTCAAGCGGACCGATTCTACGCATCTGTTTTAGGCGCCGGTTCGTTCAAGTTTAATGGCACTAATGCCGTTGCAGACGAGCAGGGAGAGGCATTGGTATATGATAGTACCTCCAGAGAACGCAATCGAGAGATGTCAGCGTTATGCAAGATTGTTGAACATTTGTCTACGGTAGTTCCTAACGGCATGGTCTGCTTCGTCTCGAGCTACAAGTTTTTGAATAAGTTCCAATCGGTATTCGAGCAATCCGCTGAAAGAGTCAGAGTGCTCAAGAATAAACAAATTTTTTTTGAGTCACGAGGTTCGGTGGACAATGTGCACTGATATCATTCATACAGGCAGCTCGGACGCTGTTTTCACGGACTACAGTAGAGAGGCACTTGACAAGGGTGCCATACTTTTCGCGGTTTATGGCGGCTCCCAGAGCGAGGGAGTGGATTTTCCCGATGGTTTGGCACGCTTGGTGCTGCTGGTGGGTCTACCATACCCTCCAGATAGCGAGAAGCTCCAGTTACGGCGGGAATACTTCAGGTCAAGGGGTGAGCTTTCGTGGCACCTGTAAATATACGATCTTAGCACTACAGTCTGATCTCAACTCACACCAAAGAGACATCTACGCAAAGTTGGCGAAGGAAATGAGAACACTTTTGTGCTATAAAACGGTAAACCAGAGCATAGGCAGAGCCATGCGCCATAAAGATGATTTCGCAGCGGTCGTGCTGCTGGACGCCAGATATAACGACAAGGCTAAACATTCCTTACTGCCGTCCTACGTGCGGCAATCACTTGAAGGGTGCAGGCACGAAATAACATTAAAGAATCCTGTAGAATCGTTGATGAGAAACCTCAAAAGCTTTTATCAGCTACATGTTAACACCAACTGACTCATAACTTCAATTGTTCATATGAAATACCTCTCCTCTGTTAAACGCAGTGTGCCACCATGCCATTCTCATTACTGGCAGGTTATAGATGCAATATCTCCTATTGTTAGAAAGTTCCGCTATATACACTAACAATTCCCATCGAATATCCATAAATGTTTTAAAATCATAAATGTCACAATTCGAATTTACATTTAGGATGCAACGCGAATAACAATACAAATTAAAAGCACTACCGTCTAACAATATTCATTAACACCAGTTTCATTTAGCACCGAGTATCATGCTAGAACGAATTACTCTGCAATAACTATATCATTGAAATAGCTATCAACTAACATAAGCATTCGATTACACTTCCAACCAATAACCATATACGACGTGCGACACCATTATTTCACAGAGTATTATATTATTTTGTTACAAAATCGTTGTTAGAGTAAATTGTGTTGTCATTATAATAATCGATTATGTCGATATATTAATCAATTATGTCATCACAATGACCAATTATGTTTGGTTATGTGAAATATATATCTGTAATTGCTGTCATTGTGCGCCGCTCATACTATGTATTGTAACATGTAATTCATGATATTATACTAATGCATCAACCGAGTTTAACACAAAAGTGCATGACAATTTTTATTTACATATACACACATATATTCACATATTATATAACTTTATTACACAATTTAATTTAATTAATGTAATCACTCGAATTGAAATCATTTTGCGACTCACAATTAAATAGATTCAAATTGTATATTACGATATGCATATAACTAACAAAATACATCATTTGCGTTGTTTGCCATCACATTGTATTATGATTATATAATATATATATATATATTAACATGTTATTGCAATGTACAAAGATATATATATGCAATTTATAATCTGTTTAATATATATATGGCAATCATCGAAATGTGTATATACTTATAATTTTTGTGTATTACTTATGATAACTTTCATATCACATATGTATATAATTATATTATTTGCATATATCATTACAGTAGATGAACTATTTCGCTAATCCATATTAAATATTTTGTTATATAATTTTCGTGTATTTGATGCTGTCACTTTCATATTTTAATATATATCATCAATTGCATCTGCTGAATTGAGCATCGTATGTGGTTTAACGCTTCAATATATATGAACAGTGACATTTTGTAATTATTAGTAACGCGAGCTCGTTAAGTGTACATGTTTCATGTTCGCAATAGTAAGCTGCATACTAAGATATACTAATTATATTGTCATGATGATCACATATGTGCATAATAGTCGGTTAGCGAATACAAAAATTATTGTGAAATAAAGCTTAACGTAGTTGACAAATGGATTAATTAATATATATGATACGTTAATTTAAATTGATTATCTATTGAATAAAAATTTTGTAACTAGATATATATTAGAAATTGGTATATTATGAATAGTAAGTAACAATATGTCGTATATTCGAGAAAATATGTATAATTAGCATGCGCAGCATTCAGGAAAGATGACATCAATATCGATAATACAAATCAATAACGGTAATATAAATACATAAATGTTATTGTCAAGGCAATAAAATAAATTAAAAAAATAATTAGTAATAAATATCAGTAATGTGATTTACCAAAAATATGTAGTATTATATAATTTAAATAACTATATTATTTATATATTCAATATAGTTAACATTATCGTATATAGTCATGATATGTTGTAATGTTTCTCATAGCACGTTATTGACATGTATATATCAGGGTGTAAAACGTAACAGTTGTGGATAAAAATTACGCAATGATGGAACAACAATTTTAACTCAGTATTCAATTAAGATACATGTTTCAATGGCGTAATGTTGTCACAATGTGAATATGTAAGCAATGTAAANAGAAATGTTTCAATATATTTCGTGGTCTGAATATGCCATTTTCAGTGGGCGGTATACCTGCCCTTTGTAATGCTGTTGATTTATCCTGAAGTATGTATAAATTGATGGAATCACGTGTATCCGTAATATCAATTTTAATGCTATATGAACTGAGTGATGGTGGAGTGGTGTTGATATCACGGGGTTTTTTATCTATATTGAGTATAGGAGATGTATAACACATGCCACAGGGCTCTCAAACGAGTTATTATGGTGTCAGTTTGTATACCCCGAGAAAGTGGCTGGCGGACCACGTGTTGCAGATTTGTTCCTCGTTTTCAGCCAAAGCAACTATTAAAGGATGTACCCTACCCACATATATATATCTAGATGCAATGAAACAGGGCTTCTCACAAACATTTTTATCACTTTTAACCGTACTAACTTGACATTCTTGACTATAATTCAACAATTGGGTACATGTACCGTTGCATTTTCTTCGCCATGAAAATGACTAAGCAATACAAATACGACCGCCACATCTATAATGTTGAACATTTACATCACTCATATAGGTGTCACGAGTTGTTGCATCATTCAAAACTTGGTCACCTTCACTGACACGACGGATGATGAAATCTTTAGAGTGAAAGAGCCTGTATATGTACTACTCCTCTAAAAGTTCCCCGGAATATATCTACGCAAGGTGGAATCTCGGTTTGGCTGAGATCTACTTCAAAACCATGTAATGGGTACATTGAAATTTTCAATACTACCCAACGAATTCTAACCTTCATGTACACAAATTTACGTCATTTTGCACAAACTACAGCGCATTGCTGTGACTGACAAATTGAAGCCATGACGATGGTTATTTAAGTTACTTAATGCAGCTTTCATTCCTAGGTCGTTCGGCTGGGGAAGAAAATTTGTGATTCTAACAGGTTTATATTACATATCAACTGTGCATTATGATAAAGAGTATTGTGTTAATGATACATATCAACGTCAGTTTAGTATTACTGAAAACCTAGCAAAAAATTTTTCGTGTGTTCTCTTGCGATGACACTATTTGAGATATGGCATGCGCGTTGGTGTACATATGAACTACAAACAGCATCTCGTGGCATCGGTAGTCGCGTGCCACTTTGAACCTACCAAGCACCAGTGTTAACGACCTTAGAAACATAGTAATCCAAACCGCTCTCGTAAGGTCACAGCAGAATGTATTCGAGCATTTACAGTAATTTCAAGTCAATATTTGAATGTTAACGTTCAAAAAAGTGTCACGGTAACAGAATCTTACCATACACCTTTAAAAATATTACCTTCAAGATACCTCCGTATACACAACCTTTCGTTCTACAACAAAAATATATGATTTCCAGCTGGATGATATCGATCGTTTAGTCATAAACATGATAGAAGTGTTACGCAAGGAAATAGCGACATAAAGCAATGATAAATTACTTTACACAACTCCAGATTATATACTACGGGTAATCACCAAACTTACCCCTATTGCCAGATCTTATGAAGAAAACCATTCATATAAGCCAGAAAAAGTGCCTCAACCATAGCTTATCTCATAATACATCTAGTTATGACAGTTCTAAATGTGGCGGCCCCAATCTAATCGGTCTGAAAAACGCTTTCGAATGTTTCAAGAGACCTGAAGGTAGCCTGACATCTTGAGCCTTTATACCTTTGCTAGGCGTCTCTCGAATATTAGTCAGAAATTTGATCAGTTTGGGTTTGGCACAACCGTGGCTCCTTAATACTTCCATTATTACATTTGCCACCCTAGGGTCAATGCTGCCTGACGTCTTGCAAACTCTATAACACAGCTCTCTCACAAGACACTTCCCTACTTTAAGTTCCGGAGTAGTCCGTATCGCCTTGACACAATCGAATGCCTCCAAAAAATCTAATTTCTCCACGTCAATGTCGCCTCCGAATATCACAAACTTTTGTACAGGTTTCAGATTTACAACTTCATTCAACCACTGATTAAGATGGCTGGTTGAATAACCCAAACGCACGGCCCAGACAATATTGTCGATGTCCTGAATCTGCGTTAATTCAGACTTCAGTAAACATTACCTTTCTATCAAGAGAACTCTGACGCATTATAAAATAAACAAATTTCTCTAAGAGATCTCGATTTTGAAACCTAGATTTCGAAAGCGCCTTGAATGTTACGCACACCTGTTTCCCATTCATGTCCTTCATTCGTTGGAAAACAACAGAGTACAAAAGGCTTTGGAAACGCATATTTGCGTAACCTGCGGTTGACAAGGCCAAATTGCATAGCAGTTGTACAGGAATCGCATCATGTAGTAGCGCTTCTATAGACGCCATCAGTTTACTGTAGAGCTGCTCACTCTGGGTTCCATATATTCGGACGAAGTGGTGACAGCGTATCAGATCTACCAACCCGAACCTCGCCAAATCTCTTTGCAAGAGAGAGACAAGGAGTCTAACGTTAACAAGGGGAAGTTTATAGCTGATTTTCCCAAGAGAATAACATAGCAAGCCCATAGCGGTAGGACACAGGTTTACAGATTGCACCTGAATGTGGTCAACCGTCTTCATCAGTAAGTGACGGTCTAGCAATCGCATTGACGCCATATATTTCAATGATTTTGCAAATTCCATTGGTGTCATACTATCACAAATGGCTAGGAACCTTCGTCTTAACTCAGACAAATGCCGTGGAGACACACATGGTTGTTTTTCCGCATAAAATTTTAGCAATATAAGTAGGCTTGACGGTTGCAGTTCCTCCACAGTACCAATAAGGTGCGACGAAATTATATCAGCGGTTTCCAAGCTGACACCTCCCAAACAGGATAGCATATCCGATAGCGACAGATTAGATAGCTCGAAGACCACAATATCTTCGAGTTGCTTCCTAATCGAATGACAGCAACCACCGAACAACTCTAAAGAGCGTAGGAGGTAGATGGCACTTTTGGCTGTAAATGTATGCGAAAGATTATTTCCGGTAGCGTTCAATAGCAGCTCAGACAATCTAGTTGAATCACATACGATGTTATCATTGCGGCACAATGCAGCCAGTAAGTAACAAACTCTAGAAATTACAGTACCATGCAATGCCATATGTTGGCCATATAACGTGCTTAAGCACTCCAACACTTTATCATGCGACCTCTTGCTCAGTTCAGGAATCAAAATACGCTGGTCAAATGCCTTAACTGTACGGTATATTCTTAATGCGACCAATACAGTATCCAATGTTCTCCAATCATTCGCAGTCAGATGCGATACATTAGCAACGTACGCTTCTAGCACAGACAATACCACACCCGTATATTCATAAGAATTTATACATGAATATAAGCAAGATAATTTGTCGTCGAGAGAGAATGTATCAAGTTGCGAAATTACATACGGAAGCACAACTCTTTTCAGGTCTTGGAAAGTCTTGGTGTTCTTGAAATGTACCGCATATATCCGTAGGAGACGAGTTATGCCATTGCTATGTATGAAAACAACATCTTTTGTGAAATATGGTAATAACTCCGCGAGACCACGCACGTCACCAAATTTGTGCAGACACGTTACAAAACTTAGTATGGCCTGCGAGTCTACACAAGCAGAGTGGACATTGCTCTTGAGGTATTCGATAGAAGAGATTACCCTATCATCCAAAATACCAACGTTGAGATCACATAGAGCACTCAGGCATTCGATTTGAGCTTTTACATCTCCGTTCAGTCGTGAGGCTTCAACTCTTGCGAGATGGCGACGTATGTCCCGGTGATTTTTGCATGACTGCTGTGTAGAAACAAAGCTACGAAAATTACTGTCTGAGCGGCATAACTTCTTCATTCGAAGCAGTGATATGTATCCGGAAGCCCAGATAGAGACCATCTCCACCTCAACTTTTCAACAGCTTAATCAAGACGAAAGTACTCAAATGCCGCGTTAAGTTCATTACGTTCGTCATACAATCGCTTTGATTCCATATTAATGTGACCCAATAGCATCTTAGCATGGATAAGGGCCGTTTCCATCCTACGATTGGACTGCAAGATGTAACGCGCGTTGATCAATGATTTGGCCATCAATTCATCGATAACCTCAACCGTTTTCGACACATCAAGCATGGTCATATTCTTCACTATACCAAACAACTCGCTGTTGCAAATGGACCCATTATCACTTATCAGCATTTCCTCTTCAGACCTCTCACGTTTCTCTGACAACTCTCCTAACAAAACTGCGAGGTCCTGCTGCACATTAGGGTAAGAACACGGCCCAGGTTTGTCAGGGGAAGGCGGTTCAACGGCGGACTCCTCGACAGGCACCGTACTCGGCGATTCCGGGGTCACTAGTCCATTCTGCGAAAAAACGGAGGCAGCGTTAACCAACTCAGGATAACGACTACGCACGTCACCGTCACAAAAATCAACCTTGAGTACTCTGCCTAGTATCTCTTTGCCTAGGAGTCGTTTAAAAGCCTCTACTGCCTCGCTTTCATGCCGGTACTCCACATGTGCATACCCCTTGCTTTTATTGGTTTGTTTATCCTTTCGTATACTAAGACACTTCAATAACGACCAATTCGTCGGACTTACAGAATGAAACGAATGTTTCCACAGCCTTCAAGAAGATCTCGCAAGTCTGATTCCGATGCATCGTACGGAAGATTACCAACTGAAAGCACGTAACTCGGCCTACAGGTTATGTTAAACTAACCAAATAATTTGATATTTTTAGACTTATCGTTCATTGCTAATTATATAAGATGTGTCCCCAGGGACACCGCTCACCGAAATTTGACGGCGTTATTGTCAACGAGTTGTTTTAGTAGACGTCCATACCCATGCGAACGAAGTAAACCAGTTAAAATATCGCGATGTGTGGAGTGTAATAGTTCTCTATGTGGCTCTCACCGTTGTTTTAAAGCTGAAGCCCTCACTTGAAGATCGAGAATTAGTATTTCGTTGATCCAAATCGGTCATTCATCTAAACACCGTTGGCAATAGATGCGGCAATTAAGATAAATCATTGCTATACTTGGTGATAATGGCATCTTAATACACATTCTAGACCGTTAAAGAGCTCAGATGTAACTTCCACTGTTTTAGCTTATTAATCCCCTGGGCAATCTTTGGAATTCCGATGCAGTTGGGGGAATGGCAATACTGAGGGCCAGAGAACATATTATCATACGGTCTATCAGACACGAAGCCAGGGTCCGACGAATTGGTAGACGGGTGCATAAGCGTTTTCGATCCTGGACTCAGCAAAGGTGAGAGCAGTCGTTCTGTACACCGTTTCGCATGTTACGCTTAGAACCCGTAAGTTCTGGATGCCATTGAAGGTGTCATTACACGCACCAACGGAACTTATGGATGGTTGGCTGATCTCTGCAGCGGTACAGAAAGCAGCCACAACAAGAAAGCATGACATCGTGCTATGGTGAGAATGCCTTGTAGAGATATGCAATTGTCATAGGCACTCCTTCGCTAAAAGGGCACTGGAGTTAGCACCGTATTTGACATCGCAACAACTCGGTTATCTATACTACGGGTATGTGAGCACGATCTAACTTCATTGGCCGCAGGTTTGGGAAGAGTCTTTTCCTCAACGAAGACTTCTACAGGACATTGGTTCAGTATACGGAGCCCTTACTGCCTGAGTTGGGTAGCAGTAGTCTCATGTGCGTGGTCTGGACATTGAACAGGTTGCAACTCAGGCACTCGCAATTTTTGACGAAAGTTAGTCATGGTTCCATATGAACAAATGACTCCTTAGTTGGCATCCGTGGTTGCCGAGAAAATAGACGATTTACGCGTAACGGATCTCGTCAAGATATGCAACGGACTAGCCCGTTTGGTAGGTGACACGAAACTTCGTTCAACGATGGTCCACAGGATGTGTGTCCACCTATGCTAAAACAATGCATATCGGAGAGAATGACCGACCGCCTTGAGGCTTTATACGCACAAGATTTTAGAAATGCTGTAAATGCACTAGCTATGTTTCATCTCTATGATGAGAGAACACAAATTTATATAATGGAGCGTTTCTCAAAGTGAGTGATCAACATTATCAGCTCTTATTTCGGCCCAGAATCTTCATATGTGCGCGCCCTCAGCATTTGAGGCAGGCATTGTCATGCGCAGTGGTTATGCGCGTGGTAACGCAACACGTATGGTTGAAGCTGCATAAATCGACCCGTAATTTTTACACAAGACTCAGGTATGTAGCCATATCAACACTTACATGCACACCGTAGTACACGAAAAATACACCATCCAGAGCACAAACCTTCGGATTTCCATTGGGACGTGTCAAATATATTGGCAAAGCTGGGTGTTTCCCATCGCAATTCCTTTTATTGGGGTTGCTACTGGATTGATATAGGTGAGGTGGAAGAGCGTAAAAATTGCTGGTTCGTGGACGGGCCTTGCTGTTTCTACACGGGCACAACACAATACACTAACAAGGTTAAGCTTCAACATAGGTTCGAAACAGCTCTATAGAGTAAAACTGTTTTAGGATACTGGAGAGTTTGGGCTGGGAGATACGTCGAGTGCCGTGGTTCAAATGGGTGGATGTTTTAAACAGCACAAACGACAAAATGTTATACATCAAGTGGGTTCACGTCACCTCTATTAACATAATGCAGGCATCTAAGCCAATGCAAGGCCACAGGAGATACCACCCTAAAAACGGAACCACTGGATAGCACAGAAATCAGACAGAAATTGCGTATAATCAAAAACCACTATGCCGCAGCAGCGACTACTACCTAGAAACGTTTAAATACCCATGAACATTAATACAAAATATTTTTGTCTTTTTATTACCCTCTCAAATCTTCGCATCGGGGAAGTATGCCTTCTTGAGGTTTAGTTTCGCGTCCCTGCTAAGGAACGATTTCTCAAGTGCCCACGTGTTCATTTTCACGAAGTCAGCATATCCAAAACCTAGGTGGGTGAACAACAGATCGTACTCTTCTGTATAAACCGTGAGACCAGTTAGGAAAAAACTAACCGTGCAGACTGTTAGTCATCATCATAGGGTCGTCAGTGTTAATGCAAACCTTAACACCAGCGTCGTAAATCTTCCTGATTGGGTGGTCAGACATCTTAATCGATGGATTAGTAATCCAATTAGACTTAGGGCAAACTTCGAGGATAACATCCTCTTCAATTAGTCTCTTCATCATCTCCGGCGATTTCGCACACTCAATACCGTGACCTATACGCTTAGCACCGAGATCAAGAGCCATAGCAAGGCGTTCATTACAATCTGGAGGTGTCTCCCCTGCATGAAGCGTTACGTTAACACCAGCGTCCACGAGACGCTTGAATTGTGCGGTATGTGGAGCGAAACTGGCAGGGTAACCAGCGTTGTCGAACCCAATAAACCTGTCTCGGGATTTTAGGAAATAGTCCACAGACTTGTCAAAGGGGAACTTGTCAGCAATTCCGACTTCTCCAATATATATGGCACCAGCCTACACCGCATTTTAAACATAACAGTCATATTCATTACCTCGAAAGGCGTGGAGATCTGCTGCTTCGCTTTCTCGATACCAGAAAACACACTATCGACGACCTCTTCATAGCCGTAACCGCAGCCTTCGGCTAGAAAGGCAGGTGAAAACCTAAACTCCAAGCCCCTGTACAGCATTGAGTATATTGACATTCTCTCAACTCACACAACACCTTCACGGTATTTCGCAAGCACAGCTTCAGTTGAGCAACGCTCAATAATCTTCACGTTGTTGGAAAAAACCTGATCAATGTCTTAAGAAAAAAAGTTTCACGTACCTTGCAGATCATACGTGTTTTGTCGATGAACTCGACCAAATCCTTGATCTTATAGTTGCAGACAATGTTTTGTAAAATGTCCTGCTCCGTCAGACGATCTTCGCCCGTAGCATATTCGTTGTATATCTGCATCAATGTGCAAAATGAGACCAGTACATACGTCTATCAGCTTATTTACGGGACATGCTATGTCTCCGTGCATATGCAGTTCCATTTTGGGCATCTTCTTCCAAATAGCCTTGCGCTCCCACTCGCCCATCTTCTGGAGCTCGGCATTAGTTGGGTAGGCTTCCATCTTTGAAAAATGCGTGGAAGTTTGTATATGAAGGTGATTCGCGTAAATTTACGGCTAAAGACAAGAGATATTTGCCAATCGTTAAAAATTTAGTGCAGGAATAGCTTTTCGCAGAAAAGTAAAAGGTGTTTGGCAAGTTGTAGTTAATATTTTACTGTCAGATGACAACAACAAAAGTTGACTAGACTACAACAGTGCCGCGTCAGCAGGAAGGTTCCTACTTGTGGTAGCGACAGGCGTTTCGTGGGAATTCTGTGGCTTCCACATAAAAATAAAGGCTTGATTCGGGTTAAAAAACCCAGGCAATCCATACAGTTCAGGGTCGACACGTTACACCGATCAGATGTTGTGATTGGCAATGGTGTATAATGGTTGCACACCTTGCGAGTTGCATGGGTCATAGTTATTGAAATTCGGAGAATCCGTCTGCACACATTTTTCCTGAAAAATTTACTACTTCTTATCGTAATTATTTATAATCTGGTGACATACCGCCGGAGCTGTTTAGGCCGTCGTGCCTTTAACTGAAAATTCATAACTTTTGATCACCTATGTAACTTTCCTGGCTTAATTAGCATCTTCACCCAGCGATAATTCGTTTATATTTTGCTGTAGAACGAAAGGTCATATCTGTATGGGCATCTTGACGGAGGTATTTTAAGAGCTGCATCGTAACGTTTTGTTATTGTGAGATTGTGTTGAGCACAAAATGGTTGAAGCAGTCGGCTCGCAGCTATGGAAGGCTCAACTTCCACAACCCATTATAACTGTTGATGCGTAATATCTAGGTGAAACAAAGTCACCCCTTGTTCTATGCAACTGGAGATAGTAGAGCCTGTCGCTCGAGTATTAGTGGTCGTGAATTCTGAAGCCGGCTGCCTGAATACTGCCCAATTCCATTTTCTATGTCATATGTAGCTTTCTTCCCTTGTTAGGGGGATTCCTATTGATGCATTTCACGATGATTTAAAAATACGAATAACCTATGTAGTTGCAGCCCTCCTTAATTCGTTTGGCAAGAGCGACAGCAAAATTTTGTCACTAGTCTTTAGGCCACGTAACCGCAATAGAGGTTTGACGGTACACCCGTTATCATTTTTACCTTTGAGAGGCGAATTACTATCTCGTATCTGCGCTATGCAACAATATATCTCATCATCACTGTCAAGAACACTAAGAGAGTGCGCTACCATATCATTACATTAATATTGTGACATTTGTCATACACTTTATCATATATAACAAACTATGTGACAGACTCCTTTAGGTCAGTTTCATAAAATGCCATTTTTGCATATATCATGTGGTATCTTTTGCCGAGGTTGGTTGTCTACTTGGACAATAGACGTCATATCCATGAGGTAGCACCAGTGATGGAATTAAGCCCACGGGAACGGGTGTTGCGTAACGCTCATGGTAAGACAAGCAAAATTTTCGGTCGTAAATTTAACACAGAAAACTTCATAAGCTGATTAACACGTATAACGTGGAGACGGATTACAATGAATTAGAAGGCAAACGTACCGTAACACGAGAGCAACTTCCGTGGGTGCAAAATTCCAGTAAACTGATATACCAGTCGATCACAATGGACACAACATTGCTTTGTTGGCAAATGCAGATGATGAGGAAGTCACATTAGCCGCGGTACTACGCTTTTGTGCTAGCAAATGTTAGTGTGACCAACAACTAATGCGTCCTATCCCGCTAGGCGCCGACCGGCAAACAGATGCTTGAAAAGCGGCAATTGCTGTGCTGGCATGAAAGCCATGAAGTATAGACAGTAGAGAAGATAATCAAAAAACAAATCAAAGAATAACATGAAATGCTCATCCCAGATGAAATTTTGTTCTCCAGACGATTGTAGACACATGGCACTCACAATGGAGTACAACTCGGGTTTCATAACGGAGACAAAGAATCCTATTTTGAAGATGTTATATGCCTTGAGCTGCGCATATGCAACGCCCACATCTGAGTTAAGTGGTTCGTCTACTATTCTGGCCCTTATCATGAGGATGTTGAAATTACTGGCGATTAGAATTGAAATGAATGCAACCGTATGTACCACATTACGCGATACATCTACCCCAAAGATAAGTATTTCAATGAATCCTACCACACATGAAAAAGCCGTTACCGAGCAGACTATTCGGAATTCCAAGGCACTTAGATTTTCACGTCCCATCTTCCATCCCAGGGCTAACAGCACCAGTGTAGCTAAGAGAGAATTCTCATGAAGCCTTTTCACCACGTGAGTCATGGTCCAGACTATGTTGGAGTATGTTCCTGTCTTCATTATTGAGTCCAGCAAAAGTGTGTCTAAACGTAAGTATAGAGTCACAAAAGCAAAGTTGATGGCCATAATATAATTCACCATTTGGGCGTCACTTCTAAGACGTAATAAGAGGTAAGCAAACGCAAGTATACCACTTATTGCATAGATAACCTCCCAGAACACAATTACTGCTTTGAAATGTTTCATTTCCATAGGCAGGTGATCACTACCAGGGTTCAAGAACGAGATTTCACCCTTCATTACGAGTTTTCGCTCATCAGGGTTAAGAAGCATCAGAACGAATCTGTCCGTTTCCTCAGCCTGAAAGATAAATGTTTCCTGTTTACCCAGAGCTGTGATAGGTATGCGCAAATCCGCAAAGACATGACTAGTGACGACGAATTTGTTGCTACCCTTTGCAGGCTGTAAATGCTCCTCAGAGAGCGACGACACATACAAGTCCCACTTTGATTTCGACATGAGTAAGATGTAAACATTGTCCAATATCTCAGTCTCTGAGAGGACATGGTCTTCCGCCAATAAGGGGTCCTGGTTTTTTCTTCTATCTTTACAAAACACCCATTTATATAGGTTATACATCAATTGAAACCAATTGTAGTGATCTTGGTTGTTCCATTCGGCAAATGCCCTTCGCCTGACCTTGAACGCAGAATTGGCGTTTGAGTGGAAAATTCCGCTCTTCAAAACTTCAGCCAGTTCCTCCGGTTTGCGTAGAGCTAAAGACACATTGTTATCTACAACCCTCACGACACCTATAGAGCCTTTTATGGTTCCACCCTTGCCCAGAGAAAACTGGTACTTTGGTGTGTACAGCTGCTCGGAGGTCGACCCTAGTACTGGCACAGAGCAAATTGGAGTGCGCAAGGCCTCCTTAGGGTCATCATATTCCCTTAGTTCTATTATAATGGCATCTATGCTATGCATGGCAAAGGGGATCACCAATGCCATCAGAACAGCAGCCACCTCCATATTCTGCCTTCGCCACATGGATTCCTAGAATGACTTGCCACCTGCTCAATGAAAATCAAGTGTCAAACCATTTTTAGGGAAAGAATCTACGTTGTCTGAGTGCAGGACCCCCGTTTACCAGAGTGGCATCCGCCACGCACACCCGTCGTGGCACTGTACATGATCCGTTTTACAAGACCAAATGTGTACCTTTTTCTAATAGTTATCGTAGTCGTATATTCTATCACACCTTTTAGGTATTTGTACTGTTAGTGTACCGTTTGTGAGTGTGGCCTTCGCGTGTGGCTCCATCGCGTCCCTCGGTACTGTGACGGAGTGGCGGAATTGTTGTGAGTAGCGAGTAGTGGAGTCATTCTTGCCGTAATTTACCTCTTCAGATTTGATGCTAACTGTTAGTACACCTCCGTAAATCCTAACTTTAACGTCATCCCTGTTAACGCTGGGAAGCCTAAAGGTCATCTTGTAACATTTACCGTCGTCCGTAAAGCCGGCACCAACAGCGGTGTTATACATCCTATCTAAGTCTAAGCGCAAGTTTTCGTTGTACCACGTATCGTTGTTTGCCGGATACGACTGTTTACCAATTGAATTGCGTTCTTTGCGTGCTACGGCTCTGCGACAATATTGCACGCCGGGCGGCGTACCGGGATTGTGTGCTTGCATCCACCAGTCCCGGTTCCAAGGATGCAATTCGGCATTTGCCGTATCGATCATAAGCTTACACATCTCCATAATATCCCGCACGGGACCATTTTCGTTAGGTATTCCAGTAGCGCAGCCGAGGTCTGAAATGTCGCCGAAAATCCAACGGTTACACTCATTCATATTCCTTCTAAATATGCTGCCCACCGTGTCGGCACGCCGATAAGCTAACGGGCAATATTCATCCTTGCTTACGTTGGCATCCGCCATGGTCTCGCCGGGCTGCGTAAGCACGGGAAAACAAACCGCTCTCATGACATTAGCCGGCATAAATGGGTTGCAAAATCTGTATTTGGGAATAGAGCCGAGCCTAGTGGCTCCGATAATCCTGCTTGGGTTGTACAGCTTCAGTGGAGGTAGCACTGCAGCGTCACGTCTAGCGGAGCCGCGGTCTATTGTTACAGGCACTTCGTGTAATCCCGGCCAGGGTTGCATTTTGAGCGGTTTCACTCGTCAGAAGGCTAATATTTCAGTTAAACATTTGTGAAGACAGCAAGGGAAGCTACACGCAGAGACAGACGCTTACTTCGCAGAATCGGCAAAGCGGCACTGACCCGTAGAAGTGGCAAATTACTCCAGCCATAAAAATATACTATACATTTTCAGTTCCTGCGTTAGGGCGTACTGTGGGCGTGACGTAGTGCTTTCTATGGTATGGTTTCGCACGTAGCGGTGCAGCCAGGAGGGACGTAGCGTGCCTTTACCGCCTATATAAGAGCTAACACATTTATGCGGTTGTTTTATAGCGCCCAATTCCCATGTCGCCCAAACGCCTGAACGTCGTCATCTACCCCGTCTTATGGTGATAGATTCTTGCACCCTCAGGCGAATTGCCGCTCACGATTACGCTGCCTACAATGTTACAACTGTAGTTAGGTCTCACATTTAAACAAACAGACATGAAAGTGTCACATAAGCTATCAAATGGCGCGGGACTTTGTGATAGGCTGCGTGGGCAAGCCTTCATCGGGAAAATCGACATTTTTTAACGCGGTCTGCGTTAACCCAAACGCCAAAACTGCAGCCCACCCCTTCACCACCATCGAGCCAAATCATGGTGTTGCTTTTTTCACAACGGACTGCCCCTGCGTGAAATACAACGTGCAATGCGCCCCGTCTTTTGGGAGCTGCAGGCGTGGCGTAAGGAGGGTCCCCGTTAAATTGCTTGATGTAGCAGGTTTGATACCTGGCGCAAATGAGGGCCGTGGTATCGGGAACAAGTTCCTCGACGACTTACGTCATGCCGACGTACTTATGCATATCATTGACGTCTCTGGAAGAACCAACGAAAAGGTACCGTTCCGGCACATGCACTTATACCTATCACTTTTAGGGCGATGCTACCATAGGATACGACCCTTCAGGCGACCACGTATGGCTCGTAGAGGAGATAGAGCTCTGGATTTTTAATAATCTATTGCCGAAGTGGGCCACCATGGCCAAGCGTCACGCTATGAAGAAAGAAAGCGCAGTAACCACGCTTCACAGCAAAGTTTCCGGATACATGGCATCTGAGGGTCGTATCCATATATATATATATATATATATATATATATTTATCGAAGCGTTAATATAAGAATTTACAGGTCTCCGTGTTCGTACAGGAGCGATTCAAATTCGTTCTCGTGCTGAACAAGATAGACTCGGTTAGTGTCTGCGGTTTGCGATTTACGCCATACAGGAAGGAGAAACGGATTTGAATACCTTGAAGATATGCCAACGTCACCCCGATGTTCCCAGTGTGGTATGCAGTGCGCTCGCGATGTGTTTCCTGCGTAAGATGCAGGCACAGGCAAGTTTTGTACAATGAGTGTTCCTACATTGCACATTAGGGGTACATCGACTATTTTGAGGGTGAAAGCGATTTTTATATGCACGGAGATGCCGATGATGACCCACGCAATTCGATACTGAAACCTGCCGATGACAAGCTCCGCAACAGGCTTAACAATATTAGGGACCTAGTACTTTATAGGTTTGGATCTACTGGAGTAACTCGCGCATTGAACGAGGCTACCAAGGCTGCAGGAATTTTGTGTATCTACCCAGTCAAGAACCTGAAAAGTTTCGGTGATGACGACAACAGCAACAAGGCATTCCGCGAGTGCGTTACGGTGATGCCGGGTACAACTGTGCGGGAATTCGCATACATGATGCACTCCGAAATCGGGAGAAACTTCTGTAAGGCTATGGGCGCCTCTGGTATGCAACTCGCGGAAGATAAGGTGCTGACTGCCGAAGACAACGTCATCAGCATTATTACCAAGGCTGCACAAGCCACGACATAGTCAATATAAATTTAAGGCTGTATGGGTTGCAAGGCCATCTTAACTGCGTTTATAATTCCGATGGCATGTTTCTTTGCCTCTTCGTCTTCGCATGTTACCTGAGAAGGTGATTATGTCGTTTATGTAATAACGTACTTCGCATGTGGAGAGATTTACATCCAAAACTATGACGCCCGCATTTTCGACCCCAGGATTTTGAATGAGAAATTTGTGAGTTTTATCATAATTGTCATTTGCCTTTTCTTCCTTGAGATCCAGTTCAACGGGTTCTCCGAATTTGGCGGCCAGTTGCTTCCGAGCAATGCGGAAGAAGACAGACTTATCCATTATAACATTGTTAGCTTGCGCTGCTGACATACTTTCTCTCGGATTTACAATAAGCTGTATGGCTATCATGTTTACACTGTCCGCAATAAGATCCGCCACTGGGCTAGTTATCCACTTCGTGGTCATGTGTCCGTCAGAAACAACTAAAGTAACTACCCCTGCGACTATCAACTCTTTGCCAGACACGTATTCCACGCTGTCATAAATCGCTTTCAGAGATGATTGTAGGTGTTCAATTGTGCCGTTAAATTCGATTGTCATTTCTTGCTCTACGTCGCTGAGCTCCAGGGACGCACATTGTTCTATGTCATCGGCGTACATAATCCTAGCCCCCCTGTCATTTACAATGACAACACTTGATATTTGCTTGTTTTCATTTGGCACGGCGCCCTTCGCAGCTATGTCTTTGGCGTCTAGTGCCAGTTCTCCGACAGCGTGGATAGTCGTGTCTGGTGTGAAGTTGAGTGTAATAACTTGCAAAACTTCGGGCATGAAAACTGAAATCTCACTTATTTCCTCTGCCAATTTGTCACGCATACGTGCCATTTCGGTTCGTTCTCCGTGGACTAAAATGACGTTTGGCACCGCTAGTTCGCGTATGAACTCTTTAGTTTGGTGGTAGTCTGCATGGGCGCTAAATGATATTTGCTCTACAGTGCACTTCCGCTTGATTGTTTTGTTTCCAACGTTAATTACGTCAGGGTCTCGCCGTAATTCATCTGCGAGAGTACCCTTGACGGTGTATCCCGTCAGCACGACTCCGTTTTTATTATCCGATGCTATTTTCTCAAAAATCTGTAGCGACGGCCCCCCCTGCAGCATTCCTGGTGACGTCATAACCACACATGGGCCATCCGACCTCAGGTACTGCGAGATTTCACTAATCGTTTTTGCGTACCTGACAAACTTAAAGCTAAATGGATTTAATCCGTTGTGGACACACTGCAAGAGGCATTACACGAACTCCACGATAAACTCACTTCTTTGACGTAGTCTCCGCACAGTCCTACAAATGTTTCATAAACTCTGAGTGATTTTTGCGCCAGTGGCGATATGTAAAATATGGGAACAGATTGAAGGTTGGGGTTAGCTTCCCAGTACTCGTCCAAAATTAAAAGTATTTCTTGCGCCCTGCCAAGTGCAAATACCGGAAGTAGACACTTACCACCTCTCGTAACGACTTCAATTACCACCCTCAAAAACCGTCGCTCACGTTGCAGACGTTCCTCGTGTATCCGTATGCCATACGTGCTTTCGCATATGAGCACGTGCGCATTAATGGGAGGGATTTCGGCACATGGTACATGCCTGTCTATTTCTGTTGAATAATCGCCTGTGTACAAAATACGCACACCATCCATTTCCACGAGGAACATGGAGGCACCGAGTACATGTCCAGCCCTAAAACACGAAATTTTGATTCCATCTACGTCCTTTTCCTCATGGAAGTCGATGGTTTCTATCTTCTCTAGTGCATATTCCACATCTTCAAAGGAATATAGACCAGAACCACAGATCAGTTCGTCCATGATGCCCTCCTTTTGCTCGGATCCTTCCTCGTTATTCGGACCGGTCCGCTCAAATATCGATTTGACAGTCTGCAACTGCTCCATACGCGCATAGTCAGTCCACAAAAGATGACATATGGCCTTTGTTGCGTATGTCATAAAGATGCGTCCTTTGAAAGCAGTTTTCGATAGCAGATAAGGTACTGCACCACAGTGGTCGAGGTGGAAGTGGGTGATAAGACAGATGTCCACCTTCGATAAGTCGATTGCCTCAAAGACCGGCAGAGCCCCTACACCCGATAGAGCGGGGTGGAGACCGCAATCGAACATAACGTTGCATTTTCCGCTCTCGGCAAAGACACAGGAGCGTCCAACTTCGCACCCGGCTCCAAGTACGGTAATGTTTGTAGTTGTTGTGGGATCTCCTGGTTTAGGTTGCACATTCTTGTACGGTTCCATCATTATCACGCGGTCCAAGTATTTTTACATAAGTATCCTAGGCTTTCCATATTTACGGGAGATCTTTGCGCTTAAGTCGACTGGTTAAATAGACCACGGACGTCCTCTCTACTACAGGGTCCCAGGTTTGGAAGCCCGGACCAATGCTTGCTACCCCAAGATAGACAATCGAGAAAATCACGCGCGCCTTCCGTTTGTGCGATGAAGGTTGGCTAAATGTTGACGCGACTTCATCATGCGAAAGTCACACACAAGCTCACAAGTAAAAGGTTTCGAAAGTGCATATCTAACGGTTGTATTTATAGGTATCCAAGTGCACTAACATTTCCCACACAGCCGCGCAGAGTACCTTCGCGCGGCAACTTCCTGCCGTGATTTGCCATTTACCGTCGAAAATGGCTATCACAGACAACCCGAAGTATCGGCGTATCAACGAAGATATAACTGCGGGTCGCTTCTACGACTCCCTGCAGCACGTACTCAGCGCGTCTAGGCGGTAGGCTCCAGTGACCCTGCTATTAACTATGCACAGGGCCGTTATAGGAAAGAAGTATAATGAGGCGCTGGAGTTGTTGCATCACTTCGCAGAAGTCTACATAGGTAGGTATTATTTGCGCTTCGGTCACGCGAAACAGGCGTCAAGGAATATGCTCAGTGCCTTGAGCTCATGAAGGAATACTTGTCTATCGCAAAAAACCCGGATGTACCATTCACCGATGAACACGTGTCTCAAGTTGTTTCGTTTTTTGATGCAATAATAGCGGCGCTTTCATCCATATCAGATAGCGCATCAGGCCCCCTCACCAGGGACAAAATTTTAGAGGAGACGCTCTCTCTAATGGAAAGTGCATTGGAGCGGAACCCTCATAAGATGTTATACATGGCTTTAGGGCAATACTATTGGCGTGAAGGCAAGCTAACTGATGCACAGAAACATTTGGTTTACACGCAAGACGTGGAAGTGATATTCAAAATGCTTGAAGATTGGGCTTCAAGTGTACAGGAACACGAGAAACCATTAGTTTATCTGCGTTGTGTGCTGATTCAGTTGGCCATTGGCGACTTTTCCGGGTCCAAGTGCCTATTGCTCATGCTAAATCAGGATTTCGAGACAGGGGAGTCGGTGAGTACGTTTCACACTCGTTTGACATTTATTAGGTTCCCCTTCCGCTGCAACTCGCATACATTTTGTCTGAGATGTGCGAGGAACCGGACTATCAGCTGTATAAGATGGCATGCAAGGTTTACAAGCCCATCATCGACGCAGATCCTAACTTCCCGCGCTTGATATTTCATTTTAGGGAGAGGCTTTTCCCAGGGCACAATGACCCAAGCGACCCCTTTTGTGTGTACAGCAACGTTGCGCATGGAGCAAACGACCCCTTCGCGGCGCTGCTACACTCTTTCATGTAGACAACCATATGCCTGGGGGCACACAACTTGAAAATATTACCTTTAATTTTAACTACGCTATAAACAGTTTCTATATTAACCTTGGTTTTTGTTAACATTTGCCGTCCCTTGGGTATCGTACGGTATGTGCGTGGGCGGTACGCCTGGTGCCTACGGAGTCCTACAAGTGTGCCTTCGTTGGTTGTGATGCCTCAGGTCTCGGGCGATCTTACCTTCATTACAGGCAGCAGACTTTATTTTGGATTACTAAATAACAATAAGTTAAAACATTTTCTGTTTGCGGGGGTAAATACTCGTGGCGACATCCGAGATCGCTCATTGAGAGACGCGACACATTGAGCCTCCGCAGAAGATGCTGAACTTTTACCGTAGTTTGTCGAAGGCTGAAAGGCGGTCGGCACGCATGCTCGGGGCATTTACCGCTCTCATGTTCACGGTGCCCGCCGCCATAGCGATACTGTTACCTTCATTCATTCGTCTCCTCAACGTGGACAGCACGCTGTCTACCACCATCACGGCTCTCACTGCGACATTCTCGGTGCTCGCTATTGCCATTACATTCGGCTGGGTCGCCTACTACGAAGACCAAGGCAACGGAGAGTCACAGGCCCGCTACATCATGGGCGGCAAGTCAACGAAGGCAGATTGAGCTCGATGGCCGGCGTTTAGCTCAGCCTTTGTTGTTGGACATGAAAATTTTGGTGGGATGGAGGTCAAATAATCTACAAGAGAAGACAAACCGTAACGTGTGTACGTTAGCTTCGGCACATGGAGGAGGTATTGCCGCGACGGCCGTTCAAATATAAGGGATCCCAACCGGGATACTATATTGACGCACATATTTATAGAAATTGCTGCACAGAGTTACCAGTTTGCCGCGAGGGATTAGATTCCGAGGGCGGACGCTTTTACCGTCCGCGCGTGTGCAGGCACCCACCACGAAGACCTCAGACGCCGTGCTCCCAGACACATTACCATAAAAATATATTATTGTGTTTGCACGGTTTGTTATAAGAGATGCGGACGGTGGGCATCTAATGTTTCTGTACATCAATGCAGCAACGAAGCGCGCGCTGTATCGCCCCCCTATCGGGCGAACTTGTAGGTCAGGTACGTACGCAGTCTGCGTCAAGCAGGGTGTGTGGTTGCCGTCCATTATTACGGCTTGTTCGTCGCGGTTTAGCTGGTTATCTGTGTTCCTTGTAGGAAACCTAACTTCAATCACACAACGAACAGCCCGTCTTAACGACTTCGGCCTCTGTTAGCCTTACAGCGTCTCCACTGACTGCTGCATCCTCTTTTTGAAGGAGTTTGTTTCGGAAGTGAATAGCCGGATGAGGCACTCAACGTTATAAGGCTACTTGTACGTCGGCGTCTTCAGGTTCCCTTTTACACGATTTGTGCGCTGCTCACTGCTTTGACATGATTCTGATCTGGTATTGTGTGACCTACACTTCTGGAGTATATGTAAGATGGCACCGGACATCATGTTGGCTTCTGGATTACAGCATTTCTTTCTAATGCCCTCGCATCAGCGCTGCCGTGTGTAGGTAATATCCTAACCTTGTGAATTACACATACGAAGATATACATCCAACATCTAATACTCTCTCGCCTGTTTCAGTTACCCCTGTATTTATATGTTACGTGGATCGAGTGCCTTAAGTATGGATGCTGATACAACAAACGTACAGAGCCTTAAAACGCTCGACGAGGAGACTAGCCACCTGGTGGCGCCTAAGTCAGAAATACACAAAAGCAATTCAACCACGTCGTTGTCTAGCCTAGTAACGGCGAATACAACCCACTACCTGAATTGGCTGAAAACGTTCTATGCGAATAAGCTGAACGAAGTGATCCATTTCCGCGAGGCTGTAGATGTTCTCACACATTACAACTGTCGTATGGACGACGTTAACGACGCCGACGACATAGTAGAGCCTTGTCTGCTTGACTGCCACACTGAAGAGGGTTTTGTCATGGCTGCGATGCACCTCATTGTACACCACATAAAAGCGAAACAAGCTGAATCCCCGACATCCATTGTAACCATTGGTTTGTCCGGAGGCACCACTCCTCGGGCCATTTATCGCCACATGGGGAGTCTCGATGACTTAGATATCGACTTCAATCGCATCATTTTCTTTTTGGTTGACGAACGCTACGTGCCTCCTACTGATGAGCTGTCAAATCAGCGGTTAATACGTAACACTTTGCTGAAGAGTTGGCCTATTCCTGAGGAACACATAATTTTCCCTGATACTACGCTCCCACTGGAAGAATGCGTGAGCAAATATGAGTCAGACCTTGAAAAGATCTTCGGCATGGTGGAGGATGCCAAAGAATTCAATGATCAGACGCATGACCCGAGAGTTTTGGGTCTTACAAAGAGCGAATATACGACAACTCCAGACCTTATCACTCTGGGCATCGGAGACGATTTCCACATTGCTGGATTGTTCCCCGATTACCTGTCGACCTTAGACCCGTCGCACGTGACGGACTGCAGGGAGCGCGTCATGATAACAAAAACGGACACTGCGGTCGTTCACGAACGCTTGACCTTGTCACTTCCGTTTCTGTGCTGCGCAAAGAGCAAGCTGTTTTTTTTGAAAGGTGAGCGCAAGAAGCGCATTTGGACCACCATGATGCAATACCGTCACGTGGATCCGATTCGTTTCCCTGCCACTCAGATATTTACAAAACCTGGATGTGTGGCCGTTCTAGACTCTTCTTGTATTCGCCGTATCCGTCGCAAGATACCTATGGAACAGACGGATTCTCTGACTTTCATTTTGTTTGGCAGCAATGGTGACTTGGCACGACGCAAGCTCTACCCCGCCTTGTTCCATCTTTTTTATTTGGGGTTCTTACCGGCCCAGTTTCGCATTTTAGCGGTGAGCCGCTCTCATCAGTCCTTTGACGACTTTTTTGAGACGGTGTCTAAAGACATTTTTGCGTCAATCAACACAACAGTCTTCGTATGTGAAGCTGCGGCAAGGTTTGATTTCCCCACGGTGATCGCAGAATTCAAGAAGGTCTTACGGCGCATCACTATCCGATACGACGAACCGCAGTCACTTGTTCTACTACACGAAAGCCTCAATGAAATCGAGGCCGGTTCGCCGGTGTCTCATCGTCTCATTTATCTGGCCACACCGGCGGAAGCTTATCACCCAATCATGAAGCTAGCAACCTCCGTTTGCCGTCGAAATGCAGGATGGTTCCGTGTGATGCTGGAGAAGCCGTTCGGTCGCGACCTTGGCAGCAGCCAGGAGATTTTACGCGTCCTGAATGAGCACGCTCGACCGGAGGAAATGTTTCTGGTTGACCACTATTTGGGGAAACCCCTTATTTCGTGCATTATAGCAATCAAGCGTTCGTTGCGGTACAGTGACCTCTTTTGCAGGCGTTACGTGAAGAGCGTGCACATCAAAATGAAAGAGTCGATTGGAAGCTTCGGCCGCAGTTACTTTGACCAATATGGCATTATTCGCGACATGGTGCAGAACCACGGCATGCAACTGCTATCTCTGATTGCTATGGATCACCCGGACCGGTTGAGTGATTCTCTGGCGGATGAGAAGTGCAAGGTGCTTCGCGCCGTCAGCACAGTGGGCTTGGAAGATACGATTCTTGGCCAGTATTCGGCAAGCGCCGATGGCACTGAGTGCGCCTATGTGGATGAGACTGGTGTTCCTCAGGACTCTCTTTGCTCCACGTTTTGTTCGATGGTGCTATATGTGGACAACGACAAGTGGCGCGGCGTACCGTTCGTAATAACTGCCGGCAAGGGAATGGACGAACGACTTTGCGAGATAAGTCTTAACGTGAGGGATACGTTTGCCTCGGATTTCGGAGCAGAGTTTGAGGCGCGCAACCTGGTTTTCCGTGTTCAGCCAAATCCCAGCGTCTTCTGGTGCGTGAACGCCCAACAGCTCTCTGTGCAACCTGATGGCGAGAGCCTACTATTTTCTAGCGATCAAGAGACAGATAGCGTCGGCTTGAAGGTAGAGGAACGCATTTTGCGCGGCGTGGACTACAATCTTACCAAGCTGCCGGTAGTTGGGTGCTACGAGATCCTGCTTTATCACGCATTCGGCGGGAAGCGCAATTACTTCCCAACGATTGATGAGGTGAATGAGTCATGGCGCATCCTGACGCCGCTGCTGCACGAAATAGACACCAAGCGCGTCCGCCCAGTTCTCTATCCGCGTAAGTCAAGCGGTCCGGTTGAGCAAGAGGCACACCTAAAGCTATTAGATTGACACTAATCATTTGCGTAGTGTTTTGCATATATCTGCGGACAGCTCTTGTGCGGTGAACAGGTGTGTGTTGTAGATCCGGCGCATTTTAACCCCGGAGTTACTTTGTTTGGGTTCCCTGCCTCTCCTCCGCGATCTACCGCAAGTATTAACTTACTCATATGTTTCCTACCTCTGTGGAGCGACGTAGGTGTGCTCTACTTGGCTGACGTTGTACTCCTTCAGTAGTTGGTCAAGGGGTGGCATCGCGACGGCGTCCCACAAGTCCTTGATGTCGTGGTCCAGCTTGAAACGGTCCTGCTCAAAGTTTTCTTTGCCGAGCGGGAACAATAACACATCTCGCACATTATTCGCGCATTCTCCACATTTCGCGCTGCTGTAAAGAGTACACTGGTTGGATTTACCGGCGTATCGGCATTTGCGTTTGCCTGCAAATACTAGTTTCCAAACTCTTCAAATTACCCTTGACATTTGATATTGTAGAACGCACTGCTCGTAACTTGCGATGTCTCAGCACGTCATCTATCCACTCCACCATCTTTGGGTTGGTGTTTAATAGTTCCTCGTTAACTCGCAGCCCCTTGACTACATAATGTTTGTTGACATAGTCCACTAGGGCATCAGCGCTAGTAACCGATTCATATGGGTTTTTATACAACAGTCGTTTGCGTACAATGTCGAATTCTATACGTTTGACTTTTTGCAGTGACTCGAACAGCTCCTTGTTGGTACATATGTCGACACCCTGTTCAATGTCTTCATCCAAAGGTGCGACCTACCATGAAACCAAGGCTGCGCAGCGCCTTTTCCACCTCTAAGGTGTGTAACGCACGGTTGTGCTGCGCTAGTATTCGCACTATCTTGTGTGTCACATAAACGACGGGGCACCTCTCGCCCTTGTACGTAATGTTGCTTGCCCGAGAAAATTGAGGAACGCATTTTGCGCTACTGCTCTGGACGCCATGCTGCGTAGAGGCATCCAAGTGTAGATGGAATGAGGAAGAAGTGTTCATGAAGGTCATAGTGCCCCCGCGAACAGTACATGTGGTTCGCGTACAACTGCTAAATATTTCAGATACTATAGAACTATTTTAGACTGCATTATAATGGCGGAGGTAAAAGTTATATAGAATACCCGACTCCGCGATCTTCCCATCTGTGTATGTGTGGACAGTCACCACGTCGCCTCTCAAATCGCCACGCATCGGCGCGAATGCCAAACCCATATATCTTCCGGGTTTGTAAACTATAGACAAGGAGCTTTCAACATCGTCTGCAGTTATTCCACTACGTACCATGAGCTGTTTTATTCTATTTTCGGCCCTTAAATTTTCCTCTGCGCCAACGCTCCCGTTACCGCTTGTAGCAGTTACATCTTCCACGATATGGTAACGCCTTATAGCACACAGACCACACAATAAGGGTTGCCTTTGGTCTTCCTTTTCTAGGCACGACAGCAAGGCGTTTGACACGCTCTGTCCGACAGAAGCGACCGTGAGCAAAAACGGATTTTCATCCGTTGTTCCTCGGGAGAGTGAAAGAACCCACTTGATGTACACCAGTTCGTTCATTAGTCGTGTGAGGTCTTCTGCCTGCTCGTCTACTGGGACGGTGATATAACGCACCTCGTCTCCTACATCGCGGATGCAAGACCTGGCAAGCGTGCACAACGATTTATACACATCCACTATGTCCTGTTCTGTCTGATTTAAACCAACATAACCGCCATTTGCAACGCTGCCATGCATGGCGCTTTCTGTCTAATACGATGTGACATATGAGCCCACTCTATAACTCACCCATGTTTTTGGCAATGCGAGACGTGTATAACGACAAAATACAAGGTTGTTGATCCAATGTGTCATGTTAGTGATATCCTTTATGGACATTGTCACCTTGTGTTCTAGCGCATACATCTCGAGAATTTTAATAAGGTTGCATTTGCTGTTACCGTATTAATTTGTTTCGCAACTCCACTGACCATGCCACCTCTAGAAACTGAGATGCTAGTTCTCCAGACCCATCCCGTGCCATCATAACACTTAATGCTGAAACCAAGTGTCCGAATTTCCTAATGGTGCCTAATAGGACGGCGCAAACATGCTTAGCTCCTCTTACGGTATTGTCATGGACAATCTCTCGTATAGACAAGCTTTTGCTGCGCCGTAAGATGGCAATTACTCGGCTTATAAGCTCGTAAGAAGTGAAATCCAGTTTGTGCAAGGCGGTGATTATGGTGAACAGGTGACGCCACAACGGTTGCTCTCTGGGCAGACGAACGTAAAGTGCCTTCTCTTCTTTTTTCCAGAACCCATTCCTGAGCATGTATGCTACCGTGTGGCTCATAACGTTTTCGTTATGAGCCCTTTCTAATGCACGGACCTTGCGTTTGAGCTTCCGACTGAAGAGGGAGGAAAGTGTCACCGGCCTCATAAAGATCATGTTATCCACAAAAATTGGTGTTTGTCTACTGGCATGGCTTTCCAGATGACGTAGAATTTCCAAATGGCGGGGAGAAAATAAAGGTGAAAATGTCGTGCCGGTTGTCTGGGCATTGCTAGCAACATCTCTCGCGGTTTCACTACCTAATACGTGATTTTCACCTAAGTTAGTGGTGTCTGATGCAGCAGATACATATGACAGTGTAACGGGCCAACTGCTAAAACTTTTACAAATGCGGGCCAGTTGGTCACGCCGAGTATCATCACAGCTTTTAGACACAGTTCCCAAAGTTCCGGTCTGCGTTAAGTTGCTCCCTCCATCCGTGTCGCCGTTAGCGATTGTTTTGTAGGGTCTTAAAAAAGAGCGTTTGATAACTCGACACTCATTTATGTAGTACTGTGTGGTCGGAACATGGCGGGATCCTGAATAACGCATCATCCTTTTGATCTTCCCAAAGGTGTTGTTGACCCTCCGTCGGTTCGATTTCTCTAGACACACCTTATTAAGTGTTGAACTCGTGTCGAATGCTTTTAGCAGATATAACTGTCTGCGCTGCTCTCGCATCTGTCGACGCACATGTAGCCTCTTGACTCCTGGGTGCCGACCGTCGAAATGTTGATCGAAGAAATCCTCGAGACACTCTTTTAAACTTTTATGACGCACTATATCTACTGACACTGGCAATACCTTCACCTTAGCAAGATCTGCCGGTGCTAGAACCGTACGGTGGATTTGATCGTTTGACCGCCATAGCAGCCTACGCAGACCGGTGCATAACTTTTTCGGTTTCTTCGATGATTCTTCATCCCGTGTAAAAGGGGCTGATATCATGTCCAGAATCATATCACCCGTCAGAACGGAGGGAGCGTTTTGCCACGCAGATTTCCTGTCCACTTCAACAAATTGCGGATTTTGTTGTTCGTAAACGATCCAAGGGATATCCTTCACTGCACAACCGTGAGTCTCTCTACCACCTTCTAGTTCTGAAAATTCAGTAGACATACTGCGGTTAAGAATTCTAAGAGCATAGACTGTTTTGTCGGTAATACTTGTCAATACCTCGGTCGGTTTGTAATTCACTTTCGCGAGCATATTTGCGACAGCTGCTAGCACCTGCAGCCTGGCGCAGAGATCCCTCGATTCTATGGGAAATTTTAACAGGGCAATACACCATCTTACCGGATAAAGGCGAGTTCACAACCCCGTGGACTAGTTCTTTGTGTTTATATGAAAGTGCAGCGTAACGGTTGATGGCAACGCATACCTCGTTTGATCTAAATTTGCCAATGTTCTTGACAATGATGTTGCCTATCTTGCTTAATGCCACCATATCTCGGTAGTAATATTTTTGCAATACTCTAGATTGGTTGGATTTCAATTTCATTACTGCCTACCCGAGCACCGAGTTCACAAGGCTTGGGGTCCAATCTTCTGGGATACGGAGGTAATGCTCCAAAAGTTTACTATAGTGAACCGATAGTTCTTTGACATCAGATCGTTCTAGAGCGTTCGAAAGCATGAGGAAATGGGCAAACTTCCCTTCCTTCAAATTGCGTTCGAAGTTGAGACATATGCGATTGAAAATTTCCCTGCGCAATTTGATAAAACACGGTTGTAGCTTTTGCATACCCTTCAGATGCGTCCATGAGCAATTGGACCTGGCTTAACAAAGCAAGTTGCTGGTGGGTCATGAAACCCATGTTGTTTTGGCATTGTTTTCTACATCGGTAGTATACATCAACGAAAACATCCCCTAAATGGAGGTAGTTCACCACCAAAAATTGAAGAACGCGCAAATGGTCTCCAACGTTTGGCTTTTGTTTCGCACTGTCCAACCCGGCAAGAAAAAGCTGAAGGTGGCGAAAGCTGGGCACGAACCTAATCATCGTGCGTTAGTGAACTGTATATACAAGGCTCACCTCAACGTCGTACAAGCACGTAGGAAACGTGTAACATCACGCACAGCGCATTTACCGAGTTTACAATGCCAGAATAAGGCCTCACTTATACCTTGCAGCAGGACAATGTTCCGGTATTTCACATAAGATATGACTTCCGCAATACGACAGAGTTCCTCAGCGCTACGTAGCACGTTACACCACTCATGCACATCTCACACCTCACCTTGTTATAGAGAGAACTGCAAGTGTACGCGCTGTTAGGTAACGCAATTGTTTGATGTCAGTGTACCCTGTGGGCTTGGACCTTAAAATGTTGAGTTGTTTCCAAAGGTGCTTTACGTTAGCTTCGGTGGTTTTGTTTGCCCGCTCGGTGGTCACTGAATCTTCGTTTCGTGGTGGTACAACGGCGCAGGCATCTTTTCCCCTCTCTGGATGCGGGCACCGCCGTTCCCTAATGACCTCGAAAATTGACGAGAAGCGGCGACTTTTGATGTGTTGTCTGCACGCTGACTTCACTGCTACGAAAGATTGTTGCATGTTAAGGCCCTTTCTACTGTGAGTCTCAGCTCAAATGGGCAGGGCGCCAATTTGGCAGTGATACCTATGGAAGGCGGTTAGATTCTTGAGTACGAGCAGCATTGCTTATACAACTCAAATTGCTATGCTCTTTCTATTTATAGCACATTATTTGTTAGAATGTGTAAGTGTTACATCACTACCTTCCAAGCGCAAAATCCACACGCAAAATGTCCACAAGACGAACTTTTTGGCAAGGGCATCCTTTCAGTTTCCATATATTAAAATGAATATTCCAATTTCTTTGTTTTGAGGGTGGTTTCTTAAGCGTGGAACATTTGTATAAAGGTATCGAGTTCGCTGTTGCGAGCGGTTATTCGAATCCTCAAATAACTGCTGATGTGTGTGACAGCGTCTTGCTTAATATCATTGCGGATAGCATCAAGCTTTTTTACGTTTCTTCCATCGACTCATGCCCATTTCCTACTGCTGTCACCTCATCTCTGCTATCGAGCTGCGGTACGCATCAGACACGCGAATACCAGCGCCCATTCTTCGTGCCTTCAAGCACCCGCGCATTTACGACAACAATCGCAACATCTCCCCTTGTAGGAGTGGTAAGTATTGATCTATAACACCATTTGACTCACTGCAGAAACATTAGACACCGAGGATGGGTGGATTGACGATGTGGCGAAATGCAACCGCATCCTAGAGCCGCATGGTTACTCACTGGTATGTTTTTCAATATGTGCTAGTTGCGTCATTGAAATTCTTAGATTCGCCAGGGCGATGCCCAAGGTTTGTTGACAATAAGCAGGTTTGATTACCGGGAAAGGGAAGGTCGTAAGCGGCTGCGAGATCAACACGGTAACCACGGATATGATGCACTTAGTTCCTCATCTACGGCCACCTATGGTGGCGCGCTACACCATATCACTGAAATCGTCAGGCAGGCAATGTTATACCACATTTGCCTATTCGATGAATTTTCACAGGACTTTGAGCAATTCACGTACAAAACTCCCCAATCCTCACGAGAGCCGCGCAAAATACGCAAAAATTCAGCATATGAGATGTCTTACGCACTAAAGGACTGTTTGACTCAGTTGCGAAAGAAGATCGACGATGCCATGGAGGCGGTGCTTATTACCGAAGAGTACAGCGGAATATTTACAAACGAAGAGGTGGTGATCACACGATCTACCATGGGATTTCGTAACCTGCTCGTAGAAGAGGGAATCAAATTTTGCAGCGTATACGATGCGACCGCTTCGCCTTCTAGTCCGACGGTTTTGAACGACACAGGTGAAAGTCACGACGATCTAGTCAGCTGCTACCTAAAAGCACCGGTCACATGTCAATCACAAGAGTCACGGGAAACTTGGGCTGGGGAGTTAACCATCGTAGAATATTCGGAGCAAGTTGACGATGCGGTTAACGAACACATTTCCAAGGAAACCTTCTTCAAAGCTCTCAATTTACCGCTAACGGACGAAAACGACATCAATCTAATCTTCGTACGGGGTCGGATTCAATGCGGTAAATTGTTGCGTTTCCTTGAGAAGCAATGTAGGTCAACATTGTTGAAGTTGCAGGAAGCAGGTTTGCATGTTGCGCACGTCAAGTTCGTACTCTCCAATTTCCCGGTATTGTTCTCCAAATTACAGGAGTTGCGTGTATGCTGGCACGAGGTGGATTCGAATACAAAAGATGAGCAGAATAAAGTCTCAATCAAAGGCCTGGTTTTACCGTCCGTGCTGAACCGTCTGTTCAAGGCGGTGCGCCGTATGCAAGGACAGGGAATTATTAAAGATGCATCTCTCACTGTTGATTACAACACAGAGATTGACTCGGAGTTGCATGAGGATTGTCTACAGATATCAGATAGTAACAGGATATACAACAATTTCATAGCGAACATGAGCGCCATGGAGCGCCATTTCCAGCACATCTACGGTGTTCTTCGGAAGATGGTGCCTTATACATACTTCGTGGTACACAAAGGTCGTGTGAGTGTGCCGGCTAGAGGTGCTCTGAGAAAACAGGGGAGCGTTGCGTTATTGCAGTCCATCAACAATGCGGAGGTTGGAAGCCGAACGGTACACTTGGCTGATATACCGCGCTACAAACAGCAGGACTGGACTGCGATTTGTCGCACAGAATCAGAGACCAGCAGCAACATCGTTATTTTGAAGGACACCTTGTATACAAACCTGGCGGCTATCAAATTTACTGTCGCACACCTGGAAAATGCAAATACTGTTAACGCCATACCGACGAAAGTGCTCGTCGACGAATCACTTGCCAGGGTCTCCTCTGTGGAAACGTCTTGCGCACTGGAGCACCCCTACAATCTTAAATGTTATGTTGATCTCTACCCTGCTGTAGACCACGGCAGGTCGCACGGGATAATGGACGTCGTACAGCCCTACCACTTGTCCAATTTGGTTTGGTTGATGGGATACTTGCTACATTGTGGTTCGTATTTGCCGTTGCTCGATCGACAATGCATGATGGAAAACGGATCAGATCACTTCCGCGGAAAGCCTAATGCTTTTAATTTTAGTTCAACGAGGTCCAACGCCGAGGATCTACACTACCCTGTGGAAGAGGTCTTTCAAACTGGAAAATTTAAATTCGATGCCTCTGTAACAGGGTCAGATCCCTTGGCCCAGCAGTCATACGTCATCAAACTGGCCTCTCGTGTAACTTTCAACAAGCGTTTCCTCAGCGTTTTCGGCTTGTCTTATTCCGAACATATTCGTGAGAAACTCCAACGTATACGCAATCGCGATGTAAAGCGCAAGGCTGCTCTTGATACGTACCATTCCGATTCGTGTGAGACTCTACTCATGCCTTCGGGGAATCTGACAAGAAGTTGGGAAAGTTTGTTGCAACGATCACAAAACGAAGCATCTGCGCTCAATGGTAGCCAATCAAGCTACCAGGATATTGATGACTCATATGTCGTTAATGGTGCGATGTCGCATGACGAACTTATAGATGGGGAATCTACACAGCGATTGAACTATCGAGAAAACAGCAATAGTTCTATAGGACTCCTAAACAAGTACACATCAACCACCCCGGAGGAAGAGCTGAATCCAAGACTTCGCAGCTCAGACAGCTTTGGATCTGTTTCATCAGCTGCGCGTGCACACGGCAGGCTGCATCATTGTTTCTTCAATTTCGACACAAAAGCCCCTTTCAAGGACTCTACAGACCTTTCGATCTTACAGCAAGAGATTGAAAACGTTTACGTCCCCGATGACGCCCAAGGTAATAGGCGTGCATCAAAGAGACACATTGTGTTCGTTTTTTTGACTGCAAGGGCCATTTCACCTTTGGTATCTAGTAGGATAAAGTTGGTCAAGGATGTCATTAATTCGTCGGATATCGCGTTCCTTTACGACGATGATCCTAAGCTAGAACAGCCAATGGAATATAATGCTTTAAACGCGCAAAGCTACACGGAAAGCTTCAAATCAGATTCTGTTGCTACCACATTTGGGCAATTTTACGCGAAGGGTAATATCTCCTATTCATTTGTGATTAACATAGATCTTCTGGACCAGCATGTGCTTCGACTCAATCAAGTGGTAGGTTTGTATATATAGACTAATCAAAAACCATGCAGTTGGACAAGGATTTGGTCTGTGACCTTTATTATATTTGCATGGAGGGAGGAACAATTGCTACCAAACCGTTTTCGCGCATTGATTCTCAACAGTCTATACTCAGTGCTTCAACAGGTGGGATTCATAGGAGGGAGTTACGTGAACATTTTGTGAGTTACTCATGGATATGCGACGCATATTTCGCCGGATGTATCGACTTACGCTGCGATGTTCCTAGCATTCATTCGTTGCGAGTCACAGACGGTGAAATTAGTGATCCTTTCTATTTTCCCAGGGACAGCTCCGTCCAGAAATCAAATGACGATTGGCCTCTGGAGTTTTTGACGGTCTATAGGAATGTGAAGTTCCTATGGGGCTGGTATATATATGTTTTAAGTCTGCCGGGTCAAGTTTTCAGCGACGGCGATGCGTTGCTCTACAAGAAGCATTGCGGTATTCGCATAGCGTCACACGAATCACTCCATTCCATTGCAAACGATATTAAAACTCGATTGGAAGATGATATGCAGCGCTTTAACCTAGCAGAAAACGATGTAACATTGTTTTTGTCACATCCTCGGATTTATACAAACACCATTGTGTTGGTGGGAGATCATACGTTGCAGGCTGCGGAGTCGGAGCGGGAAAAGGAGGCCTGGGATTATCGCGATGGTTGTCTGCGTGTAATGTTTGGTGGCAAGTTGGTATCTTTCGGAAAATACGAAGGCATACCCTTGCTCAAGTTGAGCTGGATTACAGACACTCTGCAACACGCGAAGCCAGCGCCGCTATCTAACTATGGTATATGAGGACTACTTTTGACACGGTATCACTTCTGTGTAATACATGTGAAGGCAATTCGTACGTGGGATGGATGCGCGCGCTAGTTACTTTTGGCACACGCTGGAAGCTCTATGGTACCTGCGACCCGGTTGGTGATGACATTCTCGGAACAGAAACGATGAAACATGCAAGAGAGAGCACCCACTTCCAATACGAATGACAAAGGATCAATAAAAACTATGTTTGTTGTGTCTTCTACAGATGACTGGGTAAACTGTGTCTATCCGTGCACGTTTGAACCGCTGTGCGCTAACATTCAGCGTTAACTCTTCAATACTACATGTTTCGTAACCATTATTTACTTATAAATTGGCGGAGCAGATGAAGGTTCACACAATTCTGACACGTATGTTTGAAGCCGTTTTATTCCACCAAATATAGTCTATATAACACGACGTGCTACAGTGATCCCATTGATAAAGGCTACTTGTATTTATAGCGTTATCATGTTCATATATCCACTTAACGGCAAAATCGCTTTATGTTACCGATACAGGTTTGATTGAGAGGTGAACGTTCACGACGTACACTTAGGCACACCGGAGCTCTTTCGGTGGACATATGATGCGCCTATGTGATGCCAAAGTGGCACACATCTTATCTGAATGTGCTTACAAATATTTAAAGAACGTTGCACAATTGAATCAACACTTCAATGATGTCTTGGTGAGGCGTGCATGGAACGTGGCATGATCAGGGAGTTGTATGCTGCACTTTAAGAGTGTCACCTAGTCATCACAGAACACATATTAACATTGCACTTCCGTCTTTGTTACGTCTGAATTTATTTCGCGAATTACGTGTCATCATACCCTTGTGAGTTTATTAGACTAAGGAAAATTTGAACGCCGTCGAGTGTAGCCGAGCATTTATCGCAAGTTGCACACAAGCATACATTTTGCATAGATATCCAACCCCTGCTATACAGCGAATGGGTCTAGGCGTGGGTGCGATATACCAGCTGTTTTGCTTATATGTGCATGACAACGGTGAATGACATGAACTGTTAACCCTGGGGACGGTCTCGTTATGTGATATTCGTAACACATTTTCAGGGTTTAAGAGTCTACTATGGATCACAACGGTCAACGCAATGCCGGTGGGCGAGATGCTGTGCTAGGTAGGCTTAAAGACCATTATATGTCATGTGTTTCAATATTGCGTAGAGCAGCAAGCCACGGAATTTCAACACCAGCCACATAACTGTAATGGATTGCCAATGGACGTGAGTTTATCGACCAATACGTCCGTACGACAACAGACGTAAAGCCAACACACCGGCGGTTATCTCTATGCCCTTCTCTTATTCATATTTGTCCAGGTAACCGCTACACACGTGGGAAATATGGGTTATATGATGCCACCCATTCCTTTGGAGCAAACAAATTCGGTGTACGGGGATGGTACGGGCCTCTACTTCCCATCGCCTTCCTTCCAGATGTACGACAATGCTGGACGCTACAACGGCAACATGATGCCATACATCCCACCGACCGTGCAAATGATACCTCCGTACGAGCAGTACCAACCAATGAATGTGCATACAACAGCGGGTGCCTTCACTCCGCGAGCGAGTTACCACGACATTGCTCCGGTGAGGGTTACACAGGGCCATCTAAACGGAAAACCCATATCACGCAAACATAAAAACTTCCTATGCTGCTGAATGTGCTGGGAGTGACAAAACTGCATAATGTGGTTAGGTATAATTATACACATTGTGCCATGTAGCTAAAACCCTTAGAAGGCCTCTAGGCATTGCCAAAATACACAAATGTCACCACTTAGAGAGTGCTGAAGTCATGTTTAGCCGAAAGACATGGGGGAAAATGGCCGGCGCCTACATGTGTACGACGTTGCGACTGCCGAGCGCAGCTGTGCCCTTGTCTTCAACGGCGGCGAAGGTCACGCAGTGGCACACGCTATGTCCCTGCTGGGCGTACTCCTAAACTGTGTCGATGAGCTGAAGGATAAATATGGACTGCTGATATGCAAACGCAGCAGCTGGGATGCGGCCGTAACCATCCTTGACCATAGTCTATATGACAGTTTCGGGGCATGCGGATATCATCGCGAATTCTCGCAAGGATTGTCAGTGGTAGCTGAAGACGTGCAGGATACTCTGGAGGCTATTTTTAGGCATGCTTTCGGTGTGGAGGATGCCCTCATACAGACGCCTTCGCGCTCCAGAATCCGGGGCTCACTCGCAGACGACATCAGCAACGACCTGTGTTCACAAATGTCTAATGCGAGTTTGCACACGGAAGGCGCTGTGAGTGGTCAAGAGCAGGTCCCAACTAATTTCTCGAGAACCACGCCGACGCCTGCTAACACTAATGGCTCGGACTACTGCTCCATGCAGAATATGATCACGATGGACCGATCTAGAGAGATGAATCTCGAACGTTTAATCGTGCGCTTTGTAGAGGATACCCCAATGGAGTCACTGGGCGAGAAGCGATCTGCCGACTTCAATACATTCGTAGAACCCGGCTTGGAAATGAAGTGGAACTACATACAGGCTGCGAACGAGATATGCATACACCCCCCGTCTGTTGCTGTGACAGTAGTTGCAGACCTTGCGTACATGCAGTTCCATCGCAAACGCCGGGAAGAATGCGTACAACGGTTGCATTGTAACAGTAACAGTGCCAATAGCGGAGTGGACACTTCTTCAGAAGACACATACCACTCACCAACTCATCCGTTCGATACAGGAAGCATGATCACGTGGGAAGAGGGCGGTTTTCGATTAACGTGGCTCAGGTCATACACGTTCTCCGTCGCACTAACACTCAACGCACTAAACGCGAATTTGGTTCAATCACAGCCTGAAACTACCAAACTACCTAAACTCTTTCTTATGGAACGCTTACCTGCTACCGTTTGTTCCCAACGTAAGTTCATGTCGTTCCTTCGGAGCAGGTTCCAGTTTCTATACCGACTCGAATAATAGACACTACGTTTTCCATTTACGTTCAAAATCATCTGCAATTGCGTCAAAGTAGCTTGCGCACCTGTACAAAGGCACCTTGGCCCTCAAAGCGTGTGCCAGGACCACTGCATTGGGGATTCCAACTGTATTGTGCTTTCGGATGGCCTCCAGCTGGGTAGCGACTCCACTCAGACTTTCGGCACCACAAGCCCTGAACAAGTCAGGGTTTGACGCTTGGCGCAGGTCATCGGCGATTGTAGCCTGGTACTTGGTTTTAATGTATTCGCAACAGACGAACGACGCAATTCTGAATATTTCAATATCGAGGGGTGAGTTTATGCTGGTTGCGAGATATTTAGCGTCCTGTTGTGATAACCAATGGAGACGCTTTTTTGTTTTGCAAAAACATATCTTGAGAGCCATAATCAGACGCTCATCTGGTACACCATGGGTATCCACGCTGACAATTTTCATGGGATCTCGTTGATTTGATCCATCAGTAGACGGAAACAGCTCATCAGTTGGAGGCTGATACTTGGTGTGTTCCTGTCTAATGGCGTCTGCATCAAGATATTCGTCAACAGACGGCTGCGACGTGTTCTCACGAGCCAAAAACTTGGCGGTAAATTCGTTGTATTTTTCCAATGGCATACCCTCAAAGTATGGCTCATTGTAGAGAGCAAGAAACCCTTTATCGCTTGGAATATCGAAAATGCCGAGCTCATGTAGCATAGCGCATTTCTCAGACGGTAAACCTGCCGGAAAGGAGCTCGGTAGCAGATGTTCTAACCCTCTTGACCCAGCCGCACGTCGTATAAAGGTAGGTTCCACCTCCATAAAAACGCCACATTTACGGTTCAAAGTGGGTACCATGCCATAATCCAGGAACAATACGTTGTTATCCAAATCACCGTAATTCACCAGTATTTCTTCACCTGGTTGGATGCTGTGCAACGCCCGCAATCTGAAGTGAGGTACTTCATCTGTATCCAGCTCGATGACACAGTTTGGAGCACCTGAACTATGGTTAATAAGATCTATAAATGGCACGATGTGTGCCTCATGAGGTTTCACGTCATGGTTGCTGTTGTAGACTGATGATTCTACCGGGCGTGCGACCGATATACCCGGTGCAGCATGGTGAAGAAAGGTCCGAGAAGTGTAGGCAGTCCTAATATCTGTCTCTACTTCACCCTTGGCCCTAAGGTTATGCGAAACCACAGCCGCGAAAAGTCTGGTAAAAGCTGCTCGGGTCACCAAGTTGTCCAATGCCATCAACCATGAATCGGGGGTCACATGCTTGTACCGCTCTGGTTCCAACACACCAGTAAGGTATTCTCCAAAGAAATCCATAATGTTGGCTACTGTCGAATCACCAACCAAACGCGGTAATTGGTAGTAGTCGTCGCCGAGAATGCGCTGTATGTCTTCAGAGGTTACTTGAAACAAACCGAGGTAGTCCCCATTATCGTTCTCAAATGCCAACAGCTCGCTTTCTATATTTTCCAGAGCCATTTCGGCCATTATCTTGCGGTTCGTCATAAGCGGGCCGCATCCATGCTGGAGTGGCGCAGTGTCCTCTATTTTATAGTGAGACTGCGCAAGGTGCTCTACACGATCCCGGATAACGTAAAGTGGATTCGTCGCAGCTGCAATCACGTCATTGACAGCTTTGTGGCGCTGCCGTAATCGGTGACTTACAATAGGCTCCTGTATCTGCTTAGCAGCCGACTCTGGCATCAAAAGCGGCAGGTGACTCATATTTTTTGTTAAGAGATGATGAGCCCAGCTTAACTTGAGGGTGTCGTCTATACACAAGGAAGGTAAATGTATCGGCTGCCTCATCACGCACATGACAGCTCTAAAAACTGCATTGTAATACTCACTGGCTATCCCCAAAGATAAGAGAAGTAGCTCTTTCTCATTGCAGTTCAAGTCCGCCAGCGCAAACTCCTTACTCCCCATTGCTACACTTAGCGCATCACCTGTCGAGAGCACGCTATCAATGACTATTAAGGTTTTCAACAGCTTCAGACGTTTTAACCGTATGAAATCGCATAGCCGCTCTTCGAACCCATTTCTTGCGTGGTTTTCCGAGTCGCCTCCCTCCGCAGGGTTCCTGGCATGGACGCAAGCAGCCGTCGTTGAATTAATTCGTACCTTTGCATCATCTGAAGTGGTTAATGATGAACAGACAGAAGCTTCAAAGACTTCGTGTGCGTCTTTCAGCTGGTAACAATATGTAGGTGATGCATCTGGGCCACTTTCACTGTAAGCACTTTCCACGTTCCTCTCCCTCATGAAATGGCCTATATTAAGTCGCTGTAAATCAATTATATGCTTCCAATAGACACATTCAAATGATTCATGATGTAACTCTCTCTTGTGACGATCATATAGAGAAAACAGATCATCTTTTATCTGCGACAGTGAGAAGCAAAAGCTCTTTCGTACTTTCGCTACCTCACCACCTAGGTCAATCGTTTTTGATGCCACAAGTTTACGCTCCACTCCATCATCTCCATCGAATCTCATACAAAATTTCTGCTGCCCGCCGCCAGATGTAGTCCCAGTTAGCGCTTCATCTGTTTCCCTGGCAGCCGTAAACGTGTCAAGTATTGCGGCGCCATTGTATTTCAGTCTGGACGTGGTGTCTATAATTACACCTGGATCCAAACATCCTCTCTCACGTATTAGGTCCTGCACATTGGCTACTATGGGTTCTGCAAAAATTTTATCAACGCCGTTAATGTCCGCCGTCGGTAGGGGACTTTGAGTAGAGTGATCATTTGATCCAACCTTCCTTGTATTTGCACATGAAACGAATGTAAAAATATCCCGTTTTAGAGCGCCTTTAGCCAACTGCTGTTTGTAATCGAACCGTCGAGTTACAGAAGATTTTATGCACTTGCCAAATGGGTTCCAGAGTAAAACGATCAACAACCATACACATTTGATTGATAAGCAATGGTATAACATGTGAAAGTTAGGTGTGCTATATTTAACTCAAAAGTTTCTGCGGTTAAACGTTTTGCCGGGCAGGCGTTGCGTGCAGCATGCTGTCGTAAAGTTGTGGTATATAATCCCTCTATCAGTTAATAAGCGCTGTATTTGGGGCTTTAAATCGCCGATAGCATCTTAATACGGTCTGCAGAGGTGTAAATAACTGGTGTGGGATACCTATCCCAGAAGGCGGACACGCTTATGTACTACATAAAGGTAAAGTTCCATCTATACATGGTAATACTCATGAGTAAATATCATATGGAAAACCTGTGCTTCAGGAATTCCGTAGCCTTTCGGTCATATTGTCTAAGAAAAGAATATTTTGCTTTCGGGGTCGACCGCATTTTTTGAAACATTCGGCGTATAAAACTTCGTGGCACTTAAATTTCTTCCCGCACCGTTTAAACAATATTTAGGTGGTTTATGGCCATATAAACCTCCGAGTTTTTCTACGTACCACCAACTTATCTGAAAAAGGGGCCGCCCAGCTACATCTGGTTGTATGAAACATATACAATCCTGTAATGAATGCACGCAGGTTTTGCGGATATCGTTCAGTCACTATACTACGTAGATAATTGAAGACAAATTTGCGCTCCACCTATGATCTGAGGCACGATGCTTATTTAGTTTAGTGTTTGTAACTCATACTTCTGTGTAATGCCCTACC